GAGCACTTCTGAATTTCCTTAAGATCTTCATCCATTGAGTAACATTTCCTTAGCTCTGTGCCTATACGATCCTCAAGAAGCAGAAATGTATTTACGACAACTGCATCCGAACCAAATGTCAAAAGATGTGTTATCGATTGAACAAGATTGTCACAACTAGCAATAGCACTATCACAATATTCAGACATTTTAAGACAGTGACCGAAGTTTATTAACTTCACGTGTTCAAGGTTTTTATAAAGTTCGTAATTTGTACTGTGTTCTCCTTGTTTTTCTTGTAGTGATGAGACCGTCCGTAACAAACTTTCGCGGGTCTCGCGTGATTGTTCTTTGACGTATACCAGTTTGTGGTGAAGATGACTGTTTGATTTGCACAATTTGCAAACTAGCATCCTACACTTTTGGCAATACCATTCTACGTCATGTGTATTGTGCTTACAACATCGATTGTTACGGCTTCTTTTCACAACATCAAACAGTCCTTTGTCGATTTCGGTTTGTATGAAAGCTGTGTGCGCTGTATCCCCCTCATTCTCAGCGAGAAGACATCTTTGTAACCTACAGGTATCACACAGCCATTGTCGACATGTCAAACACAGGAAAGGAGCACAGTCCGTGTTACAGCTTAATGCTTCACACTCTTGAGCCACGTGTTTCGTCATGTCCATTAGCTGATGTAGAATGGGTATGGCTTTGGTTAGATTGTTTGCGTCACGTTTATGAGGCCAATACCTTGCTCTACATATTGGACATGGGGCGCAATTTTTGTCCGTGGTTTTGAAATGTCTGTCGATACATTCAAAACAAAACACGTGCCCACAGGGTAGTTGTCTAGGATCTGTGAAACCTTGTAAACATATTCCACATCTTAGAATTTCCTCCACCTCTGTCAATGGTTCTTGGGAGGCCATTATTGAAACTGTTAAATATATTGAAATACAATATTTTATCAGATGTTTATAAACTACAACATAAACGTCCAATAAAAGAAGTGGTCATGTAGCAAATACATTTTTACTTGACTGGCACCGGTGCCAGAAAATGACATTCAAACGGGTGGAATGTGTTATTTTGCTTTTTTTTAGTGAACACCTCGTTGTTACCAATTTTAAGCTTAACCCCTTTTCTGTGGCTCATTTTTCGACTGTAATTACGATTTTTGGAATTTTTGCATGCTGAACATTTTAGACATAGATTTTCAACTATTTCCAAGTATTGGCTTTGTCTCTCAGCAACACCCGTCTCTTATTAGGTCCCTTCTTTCTGCCCCCATTAATTGGGGTGGATAAACCTCAATTTCCCCTATTGTGCCCGCCCCTCTGCCCCCTAAAAGTAACCATCTATTTATACAAAATTTAGTCCCTTTGTCAAAGGATACTCTACACAAAATTTGGTTAAAATCTATCCAATAAACTGATGGAAAAGGATTTTAAACATTTATTATTATATTTCCCCTACTTGGCCTTCCCGTTTACTCCCAGGGGGACTACATTTTGTTTTGAAATTGAGTTCCCTTGCAAAATGATGCCCTGGACCACATTTGGTTAAAATCACTCCAATCATAAAAATTGAAGATTTAAATCTAAAATTGCCCTTTTGGGCCACGCCTCTCTGCACCTAAAGAGGCCACACTCTCCGTTCATTCAAAATAAGTGCCCTCTGCCCAAAGATGCTTCAGGCCAATTGATAAAATCGTTCCAATAGTATAACAAAGAAGGATTTTGAACATTTTAACATTTCGAATTCCGCTATTGGGCCCCGCCATTCAGTTCCCAGAGGCACCGCACCCTCATTTAATACAAAGTTTAGTCCCCAATTTGGATAAAATCCCTCCAATGGAACTAAAGGAGAATTTTTTTTAAGATTTTAACCTCCAATTCCCCCTTTTGGCCACTTCCCACAGCACCCAGAGGGGCCACACCCTTTGTTTATACAAAATGGAGTCCTCTTAGCCCCAGGATGATCCAGGCCACATTTGGTTAAAATCCATCCAATGGTACAGAAGAAAAAGTATTTTTAAAAAAAATAACCTCAAATCCCCTATTCGGCTCCGCCCCCAGCACCCAGAGGAGCCACACCCTTCATTTATACAAAATTGAGTTCTCTTTGCCCAAGGATAATCCAGGCTTAATTTGATCAAAATCAATAAATCTGTTGACGGACAGACGACGGACGCTGCGGTACGGCATTAAACCTCAATTTCCCCTTTTATGATTCATCTCCTGTCAACTTAAGAGACAGATCACGTGGGACCACCTGGGGGCCTGCAACTTTTTTCATTTTGATTTAAATGTAGATAATTAAATACGAATTCTTAAGTTCAATATCACTTAAAGTTTTAGCTCACCTGGTCCGAAGAATAAACAAACAAACGAAATAGTTAATGTTTCAGAATTAAATGTTACAGAAGGATATTAGTACAAAAGTGTATTGCCCCGAGAGCTGCAGTATTATTATTAGCTCACAAGATCACGAACATATACCTCTTGAACTTCTATTGTAGAAGACAATAACATTCCAACTGGTTGAATAGCATTTACGTCCTTCTTCATATACTAACGTGTGCATATATACACACGTAACGACCTGAAAGTACCCATTTTGCAGATAAAAGAATTCAAGACCTATTTTAAACCATGATTTCATTGAGTAAAAATGTACTTGTTGGGAATGTGTGAATTATAGACTTATTCAGAGTTTGCTGTGTAGATAATGGAACGCCATATATTTTCTTCCCTATTAGAACAATAAATAGTTTGTACAAATTTTCACCCAGAGTCAACAATACTTAGCACTTAGTGATTAGCTGTACCAGGAAATATATTAATTTAACAATATCAAAAAAAACATTAGGGACGTAAGAACTACAAATTAGAAATAATGTATACCAGTTTATAAAATAATGTATTATATTTACTGTTTCATATGTGAACTAAAAGACTCAAAAGCTAGTTTTTTTATAACTTAAACATTTGACTCTGTGCTTTCAACTGTGTGAAACGCAGACATTGATTTTAGAGATTATTTATGCTTAAAATAGATCCTCCTACAATTACATTTACAATGTTAGCTTTAGTCATGATATACTACACTTATAACAATACTTACCTTCGTTAATTATTTCTGTATTTGTGAAAACATCACCATTAGCCAAAGTCCTCGTTCAACAATACTCTTGACAAAAGAATGTTATATGAATATGTAACTAGTCCGAGGTGCGAACTGCCTTTGCTGTGTTAGGGGCGTTTTTTTACATTCAATGTTTGTGTCAAGTTATGCTCCGTCATTACGTCATTATATTCAAATTGCGTGTATATATTTATAAAACATTCCATTCATAAAAGATCACCGTACCACTGACAACAAATGTAACCTTATATCAAGAAAACCCATACCTTGTTGGCCTTTTATGAGAAATTATAAGGATGAAATAAACAAACAAAATAGAAGTTATTTATTTATAACATTATCAAATGTTTAGGCACTTTTTTCTACTTTTATTGCCAAACACTTCAGACAAAGATTTTCATTGTTTTTAACCTGTCATTCCACTGATGAGTCCAGAGTGGTCAAAATGGTCATATGCTGCTCTAACCATGTTAACTGTGATCAGATATGATCTTAGATAAAGAGAAATTTTTCAATCTGTCGTCCTAAACACACGTTCACTCGGTTAATATTGAGTCAACAGTGCCTCGTGTTGTATGCTTATATATATTTCATCGTATTACATGGTCATATGTCCCATGTTACTTTCCCTTAACTTTTAATAGCGAAACGCGGAAGAATACCATCACGAAAGAGTTCAGCTCTGCGCGTTGCTGTGGTCATCGACTTAGACGCAGTTACAGGAACATACATCTATATTTCTTCAAAGTTTACCCTTGTTACCAATGTGAAAATAGAAACATTAAAACTAAACATTTTCTTCAGATTGGTAAGTATGGATTACACAACCAATAAGAGTTTCTATGTGACTTTTCGATGAATATTACGGTATGTAAACTGTCACCTTCATCAGACATATGGCTAATGAAGGTGGCAGTGTACATACCGTACTAGTCATCGAAACATCACATACAAACTTACTGGTTGTGTAAAAAGATCGTGTCATAAGAAGCAATAAAGTTTTGAATACAGAGAGTAACACTAAAATTTAAAGTATCTAAATGAATCTAGAAATGTTTAACAGCAAATTAAGAAAATGTATTACTCATCTAACTAAATCCGTAACTTGATCAGTTGATTTTGTCGACCTTTCTGAAACATAGTACTAAACTGTTAGATACGCAGTATGTGTTTTTGTTGTTGTTGTTTGGTAAACCAGGCAATGTTGGAATAGACAATAACGTAGCATGATTTACAAGTCAAGCGTCATAAGATAAGAAATGAAGACGCGGACAATTTTTTTTTGTATTATCAAAGCTTTTATTAGTGAAACACAACATTAACAGTGATGTAAACAATATCATAGGTTTGCATTATTTATCTAGTTTACATTCTTAATTTTATTCGCCACACAAAATCATGTTATTAGCAAGGTAAAGTAAGATCACAGACACGACATGTTTTCCGTAAATGATATTCTAATACCTACCGTCATTTACCATATGTTTTCGATTATTGGTGACCTTCATATGTATATGGATTTGTCTTCTGGTGCAGACTATGCTTGCCGTTCAAAAGCATTTGGTTTATGAGAGAAGTCATGCCATTTTTTCTTTACATGCATCCTAATTAGGCAGTTTTACAATTTGAATGTAAAGGTGTGGAATCTATTTTCTCATACGTGATATATTTTCATCCACAAAATAGCATAAATCAACATTTTGGATAATAATTTTATAACACAAAAAATCGGAACATTTTACAACACAGACAAACTGTTAAAACAATTGTTAAAAGTTAAATTGCAGTAAAAGTTAAATGATTTCATCACAGTACATGGAAAAACCCTAATTAACAAAAAAGTATATATTTATTATTTTCAGATGCCTTTTTACGGTAAAGAAAAGCTATCAATAATAACTTATTTCGATTTATTTTGTCGTCCGAAGTAACTGTCATTCCAAGATGATTGGTCACTTTTACTTTGTCGTTTGTAGTATCTTTCATCCCAAGATGCTTGGTCTCTTAACTTTGTTTGACCTTGAGTGACTGGCTGATGTCCACAAATGGACCCAATAACGAACTCTGTTATTGGTTTCGTGTCAGATGAAGGTTTGAACTGAAACATAGGTTTCATGGCTGGATCAAGTAAGTGTGGAGGAAGAGTAACGATATCTCCGTACCTTTTGTCGAAGCCTGACATTGATCGGACCAGCTGAACAGTGCTGCCGTAATTCAATGATGCCAGAATATCATTTATAAAACTTTTTCCAACAGCCTCTTCGTCTTCCAACTGCTTGATGATGATAAACGAGTCTCTCTTTTGAGCCGTGAAAAGCTGTTTCAACTCTTCATCTACAGCTCTTGCTTTTTGACGAATAGAGTCTGCGAGAAGTCCCGAAAAATTGTACAACGTTTTACGAGATGACTCTAACTGAGACACAAGTTCCGTTTGGAATCTGCTGTAGTCGGCTATCCTATCCCTTATCTGGGCTACTACTGGACTTTGGGCAGCGATATATTGTTGTAAATGTTTCCGTACGTACCTCGCAGCTGTCGGAATCGTTTCGGTATCATGTGAGGCGTGATATTCACATTTGGCGCAGTATGTCACATTGCAGGTCTTGCAGTAGAAAGTGACGAGTTTGTCATGATGTGTTTGACATACTTGACTTCTATCAGATGAATCCAATACCTTTTTGATGCCCGCATGTTTCGTTTTGTCAATGGGTAGTATTGTGTGTGGAACCATGATACTTTTATGCATCTCTGTGCAGTCTACGCACATGCGTTTGTTGCAATCAATACAAAGTGTAACTGCTCGTTGTTGTCGATGTAGACTACATCGCTCATTTTACTGTTCGTTTTTTTTGACAAATATGAATGAGGTTGTTGATAACAGTGTTTTTAGGAAGGTTTCCTACATCATTCTCATGAGGCAGAACGAATTTCTGTTTACAACTTGGGATTGGGCAGCTCCGACAGTTCTGTCCGTCTGGTATGAGCACCTGTTTCAAACAGTTGCAGCAAAAGCTATGTCCACATGGTAAAATTTTAGGATTATTGTAGCGAGTTCGACAATTTGGACAAGTGACTAGCTTTTCAATTTTTTCCATCATGGAGTGGAGTTGATCGTCTCGTTGCATTTTGTTCTTATGAGTTGTCTGTGAAATGATAAAATAAATTTTGAAAGCAGAATTCTCACACACACAAAAATAAATTCGCCACATACACAGGCTATGTTGACAGTTTATATAAATATAGCATCACACTTAAAAATTGCTAATACACTTGTTTTAGATATCTGTTATAAACAGAAGTATTGAAATTATTATTTTAAGCAGAATCTATTAGCACACAAACTACTTACCTATTTCAGATATTCTAAAAGTTATCACACGACTTTGATAAGTTTAAATACCAAGTATATATTTAGATTATGCTTACTTAGTCCCGAGGTGCATGTAATAAAAAAGCAAGGCCATAGTTCATACGTTTTGATTGGATTGCTCTGAAATGTGTTTTTTAAGATTTAACAAGAGGTCCAATGGGCCGGAATCGCTCACCTGGTATTAATCTCACACTTGTAATCTAAAAAGTGGACTAAAATACAACTACATGCTGAATATCAATGTTTGATTCATAAGAACCTATTAAAGGTTTTAAATACATGACGCCCGTGACCTTGAATGTCGATCAAGGACATTAGGGTTGAACAGTCTTCCAACCAAGCATGCTTCTAGCAAAATACCATTACCCTGGACTTTTTGGTTATACAGAACCAATCATTTAAAGATGAAATATCATTAACCTTGGTCTTTTGCTTATTCAGAGGTCATTCAAAGGTTTTAAACATATTTGACCTCTGTGACCTTGAATATATATCAAGGTCATTCATTTGCACAAACTTGGTAGCCCTTCTTCCCAGCATGTTACTGGCCAAATTAAAGAACCCTGGGTCTTTCGGTTAATCATAAGAAGTTGTTTAAATGTTTTTTAACATATTTGACCCCAGTGACCTTGAGTATGATTCAAGGTCATTTATTTGAACAAAGTTAAAAGCCGTTCAAACCCGGCATGTAACTGGCAAAATATCGTCACCCTAGGCCTCTTGGTTATTCAGAAGAAGTTGTTTAAAGATTTTAACAAATTTGACCCCTGTAACCTTAAATATAAACAAGGGTCATTTATTTGAACAAAAATTGATAGCCCTTCATTTCAGCACGTTACTGGCCAACTATCATCACCCTAGGCCTCTTGGTTATTCAGAAGAAGTTGTTTAAAGGTTTTAAACATATTTTAACCCTGTGACCTTGACTATGATTCAAGATCATTTATTTGAACAAACTTTGAAGCCCTTCATCCCAGCAAGTTACTGGCCAAATTTTAGTACGCTAGGCCTCTTGGTTATTCAAAAGAGGTTGTTTACAGATTTTAACATATTTGACCCCTGTGACCTTAAATATAAACCAGGGTTATTCATTTGAACAAACTTGATAGCCCTTCATTTCAGCACGTTACTGACCAACTATCAACACCCTAGGCCTCTTGGTGTTTCAGAAGAGTTTTTTTTTAAAGATATTAACATATTTGACCCCTGTGACCTTGAAAATCGATGAATATAATTTATTTGAACAAACTTGGTATCCCTTCATCATAGATTGTTACTGGCCAAATAACATCACACTAGACCTTTGGTTACTGAGAAGAAGTTGTGTAAAGTAAAAAGTTGACGCCGGACGAACGACGGACGCGCATCATGCCATAAGCTCACCTGGCCCGATTAGGGATAGGATATCCGACCAAAGCAGATTCCATACGGAACTTGTGTTTCAGTTAGAGTCTTCTGGTAAAACGTTGTACAATGATTAATCTTTAGCCACTAAATTTATTGTTAATTAGACAATAGCGCACATGGGTAATGTATCATTCCACTGAACATATATTGAATTTATATAATATAAATATCATACAGTATAACAATACTGGACGCAGGCAAAAGCCTATATATCCAGATAATATGAATATACGAGACGTATAAAATATGTAATTACATATTTGACTGTTACTTTATCCTGTCAGTGTAAAGTGCATTTGTTACAATTGTATTTGTGTGTAAAAAAAGGTTAGTAATTAATAACCATTCTCGTAAATACAATGCATATAGATGTAACTACTGCATCCTGAATATGGAAATAAATTGTATAAAAATATTAAAAAACTTCATCTTATATGTACAAAAAATATTTTTTGTATCTTAATGTACAATCAATGTATTACCCGTTATAGCTTGTATGTATTTGTAATTCCGCATTGTGAAGACTTGTTTCATAATTGTTGTAAAATAAATACAGTTTATATTATTAATTCCGCACTGTGCCTGTATATTGTATGAACAAAGTGTATTTGTTATCATTGTATCTTTATTATATAAAATGTATATCCAACAACTGTCTAAAGTATTATATCTTGTGTAGGTAACCACTACATATTGTGTGTACGAAATACATTTCTGATATTATAGCTTAATACGTATTAAACCGTTCTAACAACATTCAGTGGTCTGCTACTTTTATTTTTAACCTGCAATGTGTACAGAAAACAAATATGAACAAAACTGACGTATTTAAGAAAACTCAATAATGTTTCCTGTTTTGAGGAAATAAGAACTGGGCCCCCTATAAGAGTTATAATGCTGAACAGATTTCCGGTACGTTTTAAAATAGGTCATACATACTTAGCTGTCAACTGTCTTCTGTGTTGCACCGCAAACCTTTTGGGAAAACGACAGTTGTTACTAAAAGTCACCTTATAACTATTTAAAAAGATTGAACCATACGTAATTGTTAAATATCCTTACATTTGGAAATAAAATCTTTTGAATAATGGCTGACCCTTACGGAAGTATAAGGTCAATGTAAATACACAACCTATGTATAGATAACACGTATGTGTCCCAAAATTGTGTACTTGCGAACTGTGATAGGTGGATGAAAGTGGCGAAAGCACGAATAAACATGTTTAAGAATGTTTACCTAAATGAATGCCGAACTGGTGATTTGTCATTGTGTTTATTCATGTAACTAGATGCACTACTTTATTTTCTGACCGTAACAAAAGCAATGTTAACTTCATGATCTGGAAATGAAACACAATACCCGATATTGTCCATAGTCGACATTAGTCTGCTGCATATAGCGTCTACAGAATAACACAAACATGTGTATCGGTATGATGTAGACGTGAAGTGAGTAATACAATAATAAAATTGTAAATTGTTCAATTCTATTAAAGCAAACATATCCACCATCATGATTTAAATGTATACACATACATGCAGGTACCCTTTTGTTCTATACAATAAAACAGGTTTTGCACAATAAAACTAGCATATCACTATACACATGCATACCCGTAACAAATAACACGTACAATGTACGTCCCGTACAAAGTCACTGTATACCCTTAGTGTTTTGTGTACACGCTTGTTTTCATTAAAGTAAGAACCGTTGTCTAACATGTTGTATTTCATAACATATTGGATTATAATTTAAGAGTCTCCTTGTAAATATATCCCAACTTCACCACCACTGTTACCGACTCCCACCTTCACCACCACTGTTACCGACTCCCACCTTCACCACCACTGTTATCCACTCCCACCTTCACCACCACTGTTACCGACTCCCACCTTCACCACCACTGTTATCGACTCCCACCTTCACCACCACTGTTACCGACTCCCACCTTCACCACCACTGTTATCGACTCCCACCTTCACCACCACTGTTACCGACTCCCACCTTCACCACCACTGTTATCGACTCCCACCTTCACCACCACTGTTACCGACTCCCACCTTCACCACCACTGTTATCGACTCCCACCTTCACCACCACTGTTACCGACTCCCACCTTCACCACCACTGTTATCGACTCCCACCTTCACCACCACTGTTATCGACTCCCACCTTCACCACCACTGTTATCGACTCCCACCTTCACCACCACTGTTATCGACTCCCACCTTCACCACCACTGTTATCGACTCCCACCTTCACCACCACTGTTATCGACTCCCACCTTCACCACCACTGTTATCGACTCCCACCTTCACCACCACTGTTATCGACTCCCACCTTCACCACCACTGTTATCGACTCCCACCTTCACCACCACTGTTATCGACTCCCACCTTCACCACCACTGTTATCGACTCCCACCTTCACCACCACTGTTATCGACTCCCACCTTCACCACCACTGTTATCGACTCCCACCTTCACCACCACTGTTATCGACTCCCACCTTCACCACCACTGTTATCGACTCCCACCTTCACCACCACTGTTATCGACTCCCACCTTCACCACCACTGTTATCGACTCCCACCTTCACCACCACTGTTATCGACTCCCACCTTCACCACCACTGTTATCGACTCCCACCTTCACCACCACTGTTATCGACTCCCACCTTCACCACCACTGTTATCGACTCCCACCTTCACCACCACTGTTATCGACTCCCACCTTCACCACCACTGTTATCGACTCCCACCTTCACCACCACTGTTATCGACTCCCACCTTCACCACCACTGTTATCGACTCCCACCTTCACCACCACTGTTATCGACTCCCACCTTCACCACCACTGTTATCGACTCCCACCTTCACCACCACTGTTATCGACTCCCACCTTCACCACCACTGTTATCGACTCCCACCTTCACCACCACTGTTATCGACTCCCACCTTCACCACCACTGTTATCGACTCCCACCTTCACCACCACTGTTATCGACTCCCACCTTCACCACCACTGTTATCGACTCCCACCTTCACCACCACTGTTATCGACTCCCACCTTCACCACCACTGTTATCGACTCCCACCTTCACCACCACTGTTATCGACTCCCACCTTCACCACCACTGTTATCGACTCCCACCTTCACCACCACTGTTATCGACTCCCACCTTCACCACCACTGTTACCGACTCCCACCTTCACCACCACTGTTACCGACTCCCACCTTCACCACCACTGTTATCGACTCCCACCTTCACCACCACTGTTATCGACTCCCACCTTCACCACCACTGTTATCGACTCCCACCTTCACCACCACTGTTATCGACTCCCACCTTCACCACCACTGTTATCGACTCCCACCTTCACCACCACTGTTATCGACTCCCACCTTCACCACCACTGTTATCGACTCCCACCTTCACCACCACTGTTATCGACTCCCACCTTCACCACCACTGTTATCGACTCCCACCTTCACCACCACTGTTATCGACTCCCACCTTCACCACCACTGTTACCGACTCCCACCTTCACCACCACTGTTACCGACTCCCACCTTCACCACCACTGTTATCGACTCCCACCTTCACCACCACTGTTACCGACTCCCACCTTCACCACCACTGTTACCGACTCCCACCTTCACCACCACTGTTACCGACTCCCACCTTCACCACCACTGTTACCGACTCCCACCTTCACCACCACTGTTACCGACTCCCACCTTCACCACCACTGTTACCGACTCCCACCTTCACCACCACTGTTACCGACTCCCACCTTCACCACCACTGTTACCGACTCCCACCTTCACCACCACTGTTACCGACTCCCACCTTCACCACCACTGTTACCGACTCCCACCTTCACCACCACTGTTACCGACTCCCACCTTCACCACCACTGTTACCGACTCCCACCTTCACCACCACTGTTACCGACTCCCACCTTCACCACCACTGTTACCGACTCCCACCTTCACCACCACTGTTACCGACTCCCACCTTCACCACCACTGTTACCGACTCCCACCTTCACCACCACTGTTACCGACTCCCACCTTCACCACCACTGTTACCGACTCCCACCTTCACCACCACTGTTATCGACTCCCACCTTCACCACCACTGTTACCGACTCCCACCTTCACCACCACTGTTACCGACTCCCACCTTTACCACCACTGTTACCGACTCCCACCTTCACCACCACTGTTATCGACTTTGAGTTCGAATTATTGTTTTATTGACTCTTGTTGTTGTATGCATCTAAAATAATGCAAATGATATATTTATATATATATGTTTTGGTCAAAGAAGTAATATAGAAGGTAAAATTCCGTATAACACTGGATCCTAATGGAGGTATGTCCGTAGGATACGAATTACTTTCCATACTTTCCACGTTTTTGATATCTCTCGTTGACTCACTTTATATGATAGTGCATCTTGCGCAAGTATAGGTCCTCTATATCAGCGTTCCTTGTCCGCGATGCTCTCAGCTTAATTGCTGCCTTCAGCTGTCTTTAGCCGAGGGGACTATTGGTTTTATATAATAGCCATATTTTCAATTATAGTATATCAATTCTATCTTTTTGTAATATGATGTATATGTACATTTAACAGTTCAGTTTCACTGTGTCTTGAAAAGGAGCGGATAGCTCCGAAAATTTGACAACCTAAACTTGTCCACACTGTTGGAATTACTTCTTTGCCCCATATATATATATATGTATATAGATTTTCATAATAGAAAAGATCAATCATGCGACGATGCTTTTCACATATAATGGGAGTCATTCACTTGTATTTTTTTCCTTGCTCTTCTCCCTCGATAGGCACACAAGAGTATGACACCTCACACTCTTATTTATTTGTATACTTCAGCTGAATATGATAACACCCACTGTCGTTTAAAACGGTTGCACAAAGCTTGCAGTGCTAAACCTGCCCATTATGGTTATTTTCCATTTACAATATCATTTTATTTCTTTGTCATTGAACTATAACAGAGATCGGTGTATGGAATACAACACTGTACACTGATGTGTTCAGTATACGTACGATTAGTGGCGATAATTATAGACACATTGTTGTCGTGGCTATTTCATTGAATTTTTCTTATTATTGCACTACTGAAAAAAATTAACTCCTTTAAGGAGTATTTAATGATTGTTATGACAAAATATTCATATTATTCCGTTGAATGAAATGCAATATATGATAAGTTATTCTCAGAAATAAATTATTACTGCATTCATTCTACAAGACAAAGTACAAGATGGGGTAGTAAAATCGATTTCATCTGAATAACTTGCCATATGTCCCAAAACAAGTCAACACAAATGTATGTTATATAAATCTATATATATTGAAACGTATCTGTCAGTATGTGAAATTTCTTTTCTATAACGCTTAAATCAGCCCCATAAAACTCCAATAAAAAAGGTTAAAAATAATATGCATAATTGTTTACCCGACTCATAAAGGTCTGAATAATTCTATATTAATAATATAATGTACTCGTTGACCCTGTTTTTCGTATCTGTAAGTAATAAAACAACTTATGAGAAATATTTTTGTCATTTTTGTCATTTTCCCTGTCACTGGCTCTCTCTATATATACTAGTAAACGATGAGACCAAGGGTCCATGGACTTTCGTGAGTTTTATGATATTTCATTAACCAGTGACCTAAGTAATCATGCTTTAAATTTATTTCTAAGTGTTTTCTATATATAAGTTACTCAAAACAATATTTCTATGTAAACCATACTACTTGACTCCTGTCCAGAGGCCATTAAGTTTGAATTAAGTTTTCAAAACAACAATAACCGCTGTTGCCATATTCGATTTCTGATCCATTATAGCTTGTATGTATTTGTAATTCCGCATTGTGAAAACTTTTTTCATAATTGTTGTAAAATAGAAACAGTTTATAATATTAATTCCGCACTGTGCCTGTATAAATATGTACATGCCACAACAATATATTGTATGAACAAAGTGTGTTTGTAATCAATGTGTCTTTAATATATAAAATGTATATCCAACAACTGTCTATAATAGTATATCTTGTTTAGGTAACCACTACATATTGTGTGTACGAAATACATTTCTGATATTATAGCTTAATACGTATTGAACCGTTCGAACAACATTCAGTGGTACAACAGTTAACTGCTACTTTTATGTATAACCGGCAATAAATCGGACCGCCTCTAAGTGTTATAATGTTAAACAGGTTTCCGGTTCGTTTTAAAATAGGTCATAGATACTCGCCTGTCAACTGTCTTCTGTGTTGCACCACGTTACTAAAAGTCACCTATTAACATTAACATTCTGGCGTGAAATGAACACCTGATTAACACAAAATAGACTGGAAATTGATCAACAAAAACGACTGAAGCAAACGTAAGTGTTGAATATGATAACGAATGGAAATTGAAATTTTCGAATAATGGCTGACCGTTGTGGAAGTATGTATTTAATGTAAATACACAACCTATTTATAGGTAACACGTATGTGTCCTAAACTTGTGTACTTGCGAACTGTGCTAGGTGGATGAATGTGGGGAATGAAGGAATAGACATGTTTAAGAATGTTCTCCTAAATGAACGCCAACCTGGTGATATGTCATTGTGTTAATTCATGTAACTAGATGCACTACTTTATTTTCTGACCGTAACAAAAGCATTGTTAACTTCACAATCAGGAAATAAAACATAATACCCGATAATGTCCGTAGTCAACATTAAGTCAGCTATATATAACGTCTACAGAATAACACAAACGGGCGTATCTGTATGATGTAGACGTGAAGTGAGTAATACAATAATCAAATTTTACATTGTCGGATCTATTAAAGCAAACATACCCGCCATCATGATTTAAATGTATACACATACATGCAGGTACCCGTATGTTGTATACAATAAAAGAGGTTCTGTACAAAAAAGCTTGCATTTCACTATACACATGCATACCCGTAACAAATTACTGTTTAACCATATACACGTACAATGTACGTCCCGTACAAAGTCACTGTATACCCGTAGTGTTGTGTGTACACGCTTGCTTTCATTGAAGTAAGAAACGTTGTCTAACATGTTGTAGTCTATAACGTATTGGATTATAATTTAAGAGTCTCCTTGTAAATATATCCCACCTTCACCACCACTGTTACCGACTTTGAGTACGAATTATGGTTTTGTTGACTCTTGTTGATGTATGCATCTAAAATAATGCAAATGCTATATTTACATATGTATATTGATTTTCGTGATAGAAAAGATCAATCTTGCGACGATGCTTTTCACATATAATGGGAGTCATTCACTTGAAATTTCCTTGCCCCTACCATTGATAGGCACACAAGAGCATGACACCTCACCCTCTTATCTATTTGTATACTTCAGCTGAATATGATAACACCCACTGTCGTTTAAAACGGTTGCACAAAGCTTGCAGTGCTAAACCTGCCCATTATGGTTATTTTCCATTTACAATATCATTTTATTTCTTTGTCATTTAACTAGAACAGATATCGGTGTATGGAATACACACTATACACTGGTGCGTTCAGTATACGTGCGATTAGTGGCGATAATTACAGACACATTGTTGTCGTGGTTATTTCATTGAATTTTCCTTATTATTGCACTACTGAAAAAATCGAACTCCTTTAAGGAGTATTTAATGATTTTTATGACAATATATTCATATTATTCCGTTGAATGAAATGCAATATATGTTAAGTTATTCTCAGAAATAAATCTTTATTGCAATTATTCTGCAAGACAAAGTACAAGATGGGGTAGTAAAATCGATTTCATCTGAATAACTTGCCATACACCTCAAAAACCAGTCAACACAAATGTATGATATATAAATTTATATATTGAAACGTATTTGTCAGTATGTAAAATGTCTTTTCTATAACGCTTAAATCAACCCCAATACCACTCCAATAAAGAAAGGTTAAAATACAGAGTAAGTAACCGTTTTGTTTACACGTTGGTATTTTCTTCTATACATATGTATGTTTATAAGTACATAACTGTAGTTATTGTGCGTGTGCTTCATAAGACTTATTAACTTTACAAAGATTTTCCCAAGAACACCATATATTTCTGTTCCCTGACACAATTCGGAAAATATTCTTTTATATATATTTAGTATTTGTCATTACAGCATGAACATCAGAATAACCTGGTCCAAGACAACTTAAAGCATGACCCATCAGAGGCAGACATGGATGAGATCTTGAAATGTGGGATATGCCGGTCGGAACTCTCTGACCCCAGACAGCTTCAATGTGGCCACGTGTTTTGTTTCGAATGCATAGACACGGACTTTAAAATACGAGACAGGAACAATGGAAAATGTCCAATATGTCGGGCAGATTTTTGGCTTAATCCTTGTAGGGACACAGAATCTTTACCAAAATGTCCGATACCATTTCTTCACATCCTGTCGATTAGGAAAAGCCCGGAACAGTGCTGTGAGTACCCCGAGTGTGAGCGAAGGCCTGCGCCATTTATATGTGTTAGGTGTCGACTATGGTTGTGTGATACTTGCAAGTCCACGACATGCACCAAAAATAAAAATCCGCTTCGCATGCATGAGGCTTTTCAACAACACGAACTGGAGCCCACTCTGTTTGACATCGTCAAGAGAAGCAGACACAATGTGTGCAGAGAACATTCGCAGATTGACGTTGAATGGTATTGCAATCGTTGTAATACACTGGCCTGCAACTTGTGCAAAATAAACCTACACGAAGGTCATGGTTCGTTGATGGCAATGGACGCTAAAGTGCATGAATGTCGTGCTGAGTTGGAGAAGACTATTATATTATTAAAGGAGAAACAGAACGAACACACGAAAAACAAATATACGCTAACAAAGTTGATAAGTTCATGTTGTAAGGAGTTTGTGAATGTGAGACACTGTCACACGGCTTTAGATCATTGCAACATTGGATGGGAAGAGTGCGAAAAACTCATACTTTTGATCTCTAAATTGTTGGGATATGGATCGATGAAAGTTATAATAGAAACGTCCTTGCACTTGGAAGAACGGATAAAGACGGAGCTAGAAAAACGTCTGTTACTTGAAAAAGTACGCGAGGTACTTTTGACTTCTTCGGTGAAGATAAAACCGGAAGCAACGGACGTTAAAATAGTCGACGATGAACAGATGCAGAGAAATGATGATGCCTGTGAACACGACGACATTGAGCCATCCGTTGCTCTTTGCGGCGATGCGTGTGAGTCCTTGGTCTGTACGAGTGAAGAGGGCGTTATCTGGCTCTGTGTGTGGTGTAGGAAATGGTTGTGTGGCAACTGTAAGATGGCGCCCTGCACAATGGGGCGTCTCACTGATGAATCTCACACAGCATGGAATGCATCAGACATCGATCCGGCACTGTATGCTATTGTGACGAGGAGCAGATGTTCCTCGTGTACGACACATCCCGAAAATGACGTAGAGTCGTACTGTTGCGAGTGCCATGTGATAGCGTGCAGGTTGTGTTGTCACAGGCACGAGCATCACGAAGTGGTTACCATCACGACCAAGGCAGATTCATACAAGGAAAACATAGAGGAAAAGACAAAAGAATTAAGAAAAAAAGTAGCAGAATATTTAATAACTAAATGCAAAGTGTCAAAAATCCAAGGTGGCTGCCATTTTAAAATATTAAAATCCAAATATTTTGTAAGTGTCACCAGTGAGTGTATTTTGAGAATGAATAAATGTGATAATTTGAACAAAACTCTTCACTTTCTTCTTCAATACGCGTCGGAAAGAGTGATCGTGGAAACGTTTGATAAGATAGAAAGTGAGATAGAGGAAGAATTACAGAAGGATCCCTCCGACAATTTATCGGAGTTACGTCACGTGATCAATTCTTTAAGCGGCACACTAAGCCAAGCTATTGGAGATGAAGACACTGCCCTTGCGAAAACATCTGGCTTACAAAGTACAAAGCAAACAGTATTCGAGTGAGTCGGTCATTTCCTTGCAATGTACATGAACTCTTTTGGATGAGACAATTTTAGTTCGAACACTGTTAATCTTATATCAGCTGACAGCACCCAAATTTGATCACCAAACCATGATTGATTACATTCATTGAAAAATCAGAAGATGAATTGTACTCATTTAAAGTTGTATGAAAAGTATATTTTTCATCATCATATAACTTTGCTGATTTACTTTAGAATATGCTTGAATGCAAATATTTCTATATGTATATTGTATACGTTTTGCTGAATTCAGTGAATTTGGCAATGGCATGCATAACTTTTGCTAAATTCAGATTTACCAGTAAAAATAAGCATGCATATATAACCATTCTTAAATCGGTTAAAGTAATAAAATCTAGCTTTGATGATTTCTGCACTAGCGCTTAAAGAATAAACAATCAAATGTGATTTATTTCTCACATCTCTGCAGATTCACTCCAAAATAAAAAAAAATATGCATGATTGTTTACCGAACTCATGAGGTTTGCATAATTCTATATAAATGATATATTGTACTCGTTGACCCTGTATTGCGTATCTGTAAGTAATAAAACAACTTATAAGAAATGTTTATGTCATTTTTGTCATTTTCCCTGTCACTCTCTCTCTATATATTAAAGCAAAACGATGAGACCAAGGGTCCATGGACTTTCGTGAGTTTTATGATATTTCATTAACCAGTGACCTAAGTAATCACGCTTTAAATTTATTTCTAGGTGTTTTCCATATATAAGTTACCCCAAAACAATATTTCTATGACAACAATACTACTTGACTCCTGTCCAGAGGCCATTAAATTTGAATTAAGTTTTCAAAATAACAATAACTGCTGTGGCCATATTCGATTTCTGATTTGACCCACTACAGTCAGAATCATCAGTTATAAGTCGTCTTAACAATTTTTAGTTAAATCTGTTAAATTTGAGATTAGGTTTTCAAGGGATTTTATTATTGCAACATTGGCTGCCATATTATATTATTGACAGACCCGAAAAATACCATCACTTTATCAAGATCCCCATTTAGTTATCTTTAGCAAGTCTCGGTTAAATCGAACCATAAGAATATATGATTATAAACTTTAACTATGTTTTCAAAATGGCGGTTGAGGCAACAATTAACACAGCCGGCTATTTCTACCATGGTTCAGTTAAATCGGCCCAACTTGAAGTGACAAACATGTATTTTTTGCTGATTACAGTAAAATGAACTTGTTCCGAATAAAACCAGGTTTGTTTCTGAAAATAATTTTCGATATCACCATGATAGACTGACATCAAATCATTAAAGTGATAATCATTTTGATAATTAGGTGATATCATTAGTACAAACTGATTGGGTCCAATCACCATAATAAAACTACTTTCATAATGTTTTAACTACATAATGTTTCTCAAAAGATATTTGTTTATTGGTGATATCATTAATTTAAACTCAAGAGATTATATCACCATAATAAAAATAAGTTAGCACGTTTTAAGCTACAAAATGTATGCTATAAAGATATTTATGAATTGGCTATATCGCCTATTCAAACTTTATGTGTGATTACTAATAAAAGAGTATATTACTATAATCAAATTACTTTCATCTTGTTATTGTCTACATAACTTGAGCTCCAAAGATCTTTATGAATTGGCACTATATCGCAAATTCTAACTAATTTGGTTGTCTCGTCATAATAGAAATACTTTCATCATGATATTAACAACATTATATAAGATCCAAAGAACTTAATGAATTTGTGATGTTATCTATTCAAACTGAATTGATTACTTATAACAAAATTATTTCATCATGCTATTAGCGACATCATTTGAGCTCTAAAGACCGTTATGGATTGACGATATCATTCCAATAATAGTTGAAAATATCTATCCGATAACGTTTTGATATCACCATAGTATTGGCGATAATATTATATACTGACTTGGTATTGAATTAATGTAGCGCACGCGTAATTAAAAAGCACACCGAGGAAACCACACATATGTGCACTACCGATAAACAGTCCTTTGTCGTCAATACACACAATGAACTGTCAGATTAGTGGGTTTAACCCATAGCTATAAATATAACTCATTCATTTTAAAATAGAACACTAGGTACGTCACTTAACCGACGTGGCTCTGATATATTGGTCTGTATACTTTGTATTTGATATAGAGGCGCTGTTAGGTCATTGTTTGGGACATGTTGGACAGACAAGGAAGCTGACGAACGATAACAGAGCTTTCCACTACAATCCACGCCTCGATGGTTTGTATTTAGTTATACCTGATTGAATGATACGTTTACCTATATTTAAACTTTTAATTGATTTTATGCTGCTGCGGAATCTCTTCAGCATGGCGATTCCCGATGGCTTTGAAAATGTATGAGATGTTCCTCAACTTTGAGATACTTAATACAAGTGGGGCATGTTTAGTTTTGGTCCATTTGCTCAAAAAGTGTTAGCTTCATGTCAACATTGAATCAAAGCTTTAATCTATTTTAGTTTTAAAAGATCAAATTTCAGCAAAAAAAGCACAGAAATAATTTGTGAATTATCGGATATTTTTCGAAAATTCTTCAATTGTTTTGAAGACAACTAACTCAATAACCATTCTCAACACGTCTACGTATTTTAACACTTAAATACTTGCTAACGATCAGTAAATGGTAAGTTTTCTATGAGATGATTTAAATTGAAAGGGTATCAATAATAACTGTAATGTTTGATTCCATGCCGGACATAATCAACGATGAACATTGTGTTAACGTAAAACACAGATTCTTGCCATGATATGCATTTAGCTGCCATCGCATGGCCTTACTGTCTTGATATGACCTTAGCTTTCGTCACATAACTGTTAATGTCATGATATACCCTAAGCCGTCGTCACGTGACTCTTACTGTCGTGATATCATTGCTATGCTGATGACACACAAATGTACATGGTTATAAAACCACAGGACAGTTGGAATACAGTCTCAGAAAGTCTGGAAGCTTGTCTGACAGATATCAGTATCTGGATGAACGCCAACATGCTTAAACTTAATCAGGAAAAGACGGAACTTATCGTCTTTTCCCCAAAGTGTCAGCAAACAATGGCTCTCCAGCTCAAGGTTGGTGCCAGAACTATTGAGACTGTTCCAGCTGTTAAAAACCTAGGGGTATACTTTTACAGTTCTCTGAACATGGAGAAACAAGTGAACGCTATTGCCAAATCCTGTTACTACCAGATCAGGAACATCGGCTGTACTCGGCAGTTTCTAACTGCAGATGCATGCAAGATTTTGGTGCATTCTCTTGTTACCTCTCGGTTGGATTATGGTAACGTCCTGCTCTATGGTATATCTGACAAACTAACAATTCGTCTGCAGAGGGTCCAGAACACTGCAACACGGCTAGTTACTCGTACTCGAAAGAGAGAGCACATCACACCTGCGCTTTATTCGTTGCACTGGTTACTTGACGATACAGGTCGCAGTACAAAATCTGGTATACACATACAAGGCACTGAATGGAACAGTTCCTCAGTACCTACAGGAACTTGTTACCCTGTATCAGCCTTCAATATCACTGCGGTCGGAGTCAGAATCTTTGTTGTGTGTCCCAAAATCACGTACTGTGGCCTACGGAAGGGTTTCGGCTACGTTGTGGAATAGCTTACCATCTGCTATTAGGAAGTCAAATACCCTGGCCAAGTTCAAGAGGGACATAAAAACTCACCTCTTCACGTCTGCATTTTAGAATCTTTGCAAAGACGTCATGTAAATACCACCCTTTTATTTGTTCAATTATGTGCACATTGCTTGTTAAATGTATGAAAGTGATTGCAAGCCTTTGTTGTTTGTTTTCACAATTATAACCATTACTATTATCCATATGTTGTAAAGCGCCATAGAGTAATTTTACAAATTATATAGGGCGCTATATAAATGATGTATATTATTATTATTATTATTATTATTATTATATATACCCTAAACTGTTGCCACGTGATTCTTACTGTTTTGATATAACCTAAGCTGTCGTCGCATGACTCTTAATGTCATAATATAACCTTAGCGGATGCCAAATGTCCCTAACTGTCATGATATGCCCTTAACTGTCTTTCACATGACTCTTACTATCATGATATGACTTTAACTGACGTCACATGATCCTTACTGTCATGAAATGCCCTTAGGTGTCATCACGTGACCCTGACTGTTATATGACCTTAACTGTCACCACATGACGCTTACTGTCATGATATGCCCTTAGCTGATGCCACATGGCCCTAACTGTCATGATATTCCCTAAAATGTCGTAACATGACCCTTACTGTCATTTTCTGTCATGATTTGACCATAACTCTTGTCACATGATCTTGACTGTCATAATATGTCTTAAACTGTCGTCACATGACCATTACTGTCATGATATTGCCCTAGTTGTAAGATCACATGACAGTGGATATTATTATATGATTTTAACTCTCTTCATATCAACTTTATCAACTGTAATGGCACTAATTGCGCTTATCATTCAGCTACTGTACAGATATTTAATATGAGGGCTTTCACTTGACTCTTGATATTGCAATTTCAGAAATCAATTAGCATTTGCCTTCAAAGTTGAAGAATAAAAACACATGCTAAATAACCATATCCTTTCAAATCCAAATTTCAAAGAAAATTTTGGTGAGTTAAAAATATACTTTCGTGGGTCTACTGAATGCGAATACGAAGCTATTAATACGAACCTAGCGAATTGCAAAATAGCAGATTATACAAAATGTATGTGATCTGATCCAGTCCAACTGCATCCAAAGTAAAAGAAAAGGCTAAAATGTTGTAACGAGGTAATTAAATGCGTTGACAACATGAACCAAGAAAATGATTGGAAAAAAATGAAGGAGTTTAATTGGACAGTATTCTTGTACTCGAATTTACGAACTGAATGTTAAACTACACTGGAGAATGAAAATACATTGTGCATTGCACGTATACTTTGACTGATATAATTTTAATAATGTTTTCATTAAGATCTATAATATATATAGTTTTATGGAGATATTTAAACGTATTTTTTAGAACCTGCAAGATGGCAGACTCACTGGATGTAAGAGATGAAGAGAAGCTGTTGGAATGTGCTATTTGCCTCAGTCGCCTAAACTCACCAAGGAGACTGGATTGTAGACATGTGTTCTGCTTTAACTGCATCAAAAATCATTACAAAAAATGTGGCAAGCGATTGGCACCATGCCCGATCTGCAGGAAGCTGTATCCGTCAATGAATGTCACAATTGATAATCTGCCTCAATGCTCCATCCCCTTGGATCAGCTACTGGACATGAAAAACTCCCGACATTCATGTGAGTCTGGACCCTGTCAGAGCACCCACGCTCCATTCCTTTGTCTTGGATGTAAAAAATGGCTCTGTTTTGCCTGCAAAGTACACGATGATGAAACCGCTCCGTGCCCGAGTCATGAAGCATATCGTATAGCTGACATAGATGCGAGATTATATAGCATTCTCATGCGAAGTCAGGAGAAATCTTGTGTAGAACATCCGTCTCATGAATTACAATGGTTTTGTAGGCAATGTAACATTTTAGGATGTAATTATTGTAAGATACGTCAGCCATTGAATCATAGCTTTATCACTGTTAATGAGAAAGCAGCGGAGCTCCGTGAGTTGTTCAAAGATGTATATGCCGTGATGAAATAGAAAGCAGAAGAGCACGAAAAGGCTCGAGATTTCTTTAACCAAATAAGTGAAAGACTATCTCCTTTAGGAATCTGCAACGTCGACTTTTGTAAAATATCGGCCAATGAACACAAAGACAGCGTTACAGAATGCAACTGTCTCATCCAAATCATGACCTACCTCGAGGAATACGCTTCTAGTGAAGTTTTAGTGGCCATGTACCTAAACATGGAGGATCAACTCGCCAGTGAGATTGCCGAACAGCCACTAAACAAATTGAGAGACCCCCAACACTGGCTTAGAGACACTACACTGATGTCTGCAGGAGGGAAGACAAAACTGGGGAATAAACGGGAAACATCAACTGACACTGACCTGTCAAAGAAGATCAAAGTGACGTATTATTGTAACTTAGTGGCATCGATTCTAGAAGCGTTGATTGTTATCATGATTTTTGTTTGCATACTAGCTATTATCTATTATTGGAGTGACATATGGGTAGAAATTAAAAGCAGACTTTATGTCATGGTTGCTAATTTGTTACGTTCTTGGTTAGAAGGAATGATGAATGACATGTTAAAGCCAATACTTATCACATTATCTTTTTTTTTTTCTTTTTTTTTTTCATTTGCAGAAAAATGTCATGTTTTATATAATCATCCTTTCCTTTTTTTTTCTTTTCTAAAGCACAAACGTGTTTTTTAAATACACAATATGTTATATTTTTTAATCAACTTTTGTTTTGTGATTATGTTTGAATTACGATTGTCACTGTATTATTCAAAATATGAAATTGATAAACATTTTATGATGAGCATATAACATACACATCAAACTGATGAATTACACCCCTAAAGTTCACAGCAGCTATAAAACACCACACTCAGAGCTATAATAAACCACACCAAAACAGCTATGATATACCATCCTTCATCTATAATCTACCACAATCAGAGCTATAATTTACCACACTCAGATCTATAATATATTACACTCAGAGCTATAATATACCTTACTCAAAGCTATAATATACCATAATCAGAGCTATACTACCACAATCAGAGCTATTATATACCACATTCAGAGCTATAATATACCACAATCAGAGCGATAATATACCACACTCAGAGCTATAATATAACACAATCAAGGCGATAATATACCACTCAGAACTAAAGTATAAAAAGATCAGAGCTATACCATATCACACTCAGAGCTATAATATACCACACTCAGAGCTATAATATACCACAATCAGAGCTATAATATACCACAATCCGAGCTATAATATACCACACTCAGAGCTATAATATAACACAATCAAGGCGATAATATACCACTCAGAGCTATTGTATAAAAAGATCAGAGCTATACCATATCACACTCAGAGCTATAATATACCACACTCAGAGATATAATATACGACACTCAGGGCTTTTATATACCATAATCAGAGCTTTAATATGCCGCAATCAGAGCTTTAATATACCACTCTCAGAGCTATACTATACCACAATCAAAGTTGTACTATATCACCCGCTCAAAGTAAAAATACACCACGCAGAGTTATAATATATCACTCTCAGCTTTAATATATTGTTCACTTTCACATTTTATGCTATTAATGACATTTTACTGCATCAGTTGCACTATACAACCATATAAATATCAAATACACACATTTGTATTTATACATAGTTACACTATATTCAGCAGCGTAACACTTTAGTATAATAGTTACACTATATCAACATACATGTACATATAATACTACCTCATATAAGGGATTCTTTGATGGCATACACTGTAAAAATATTCTTCATTTATTGGTTTCTTCGATCTAAGATAAATTCCTATATCATGTAATAAAATTTCTTTAAACATTGCAAATGCAGAAGTGATATTCATGTTCTTGGAATGGTATTTCACTATATTTCGAACCTTCATAATGGTATATTTCATATTTATTGTAACTGTAAAATAAATTATTTTGGTCATCTTCCTAAACCCCAAGTAGATATTTCTTCTCATTTCTACAAAAGATTATTAGATATATGAAGTTCTACATGTGATATAAACTGCTGTACATAATTACAATTGTAAAACCGATGACAAAGTGGTTCTATGTTTTCACAAAAATGACATCTTCCATCGGATCTATTCATTCATTGCAATTTTGCTTCTGTGAATACAGTTTTGTGAAAACAATTCCACTCAAATTGCTTCATTTTTTGAGATATTGCAGTGTGCTTAGTTTTGGTCTAAAGATTTCCCCAGTTTTTTATCTCAATATTTCTGGTTTGATAGTAATCTTCCTATTTCTGTATTAGGTTTACAGTAAGGCATATATATTTTGTGTATCTTGTTTTCCTGAAGCATTTTAGGAAGAATGATAAAGTGCTGCTTTTTCCATTAATTATAATAATGAGTTGTAATTCAGAATTAATGAAGCACATCCGATACACATCAAATTAACCTGCCAGGAGTTAGTAAACATTTTTGTTTATCCACTAGTGGGTTACACCCTGGACTTGATTTCATTGATCAATCTTTGATTTATGACGTCACGTAACAAAGCTTTTAGACGTCATTTTCCATTGTCACGTCATGCTCCATGGCAATTGTTTACCCCATTCTAAACTCACATGGTGTATTTTCCAAGGCAAACATGTGGGTTTTTTTTTTAAATAAAACACGAACGTTGTGGGAGGAACAGGTCCCCAAACTTGTGGTAGCTAGTTATCACGTTTATCTAACTTTCGTTTCTTCATTTTTAAATTTTAAACTTCGTGTCTTTATACATTTTGAAGATGATTTAATACGATTTAGATGAACATGATAACCGTCCAGCACTCGTTTGGAAACCTCTATATTCCTGCTGAAGGATTTTAAAAATTTTCTTCTGCTGTCAGTCCTGTTAAACATGTATTGTATGAATAAAGGTTGAGTGAGAATAACATGATTTGTTATTATTTTTGAAATTTGCAAATTGTCCATTGCTGATGATACCAAAGCTCTGTCATTATAAGTTGATTTGTAACAAAAAGATATTTATCGATAGTGAATGGCAGGTACATTTATGTTTGTGTATCAAATTGAATATTTGGCGTACAAACCCCCTTTTTGTATGTTTAGGTGAGTGTTTCTAGTTTATTTCAACCATTACATGTTAAATACTAAATTAAAAAATAATTGTGAAATGAATATATCCTGATGTTTTGTCGCGTTCCTTGTTTATATAACTTCAATTGGTACCCCCTTGTGGTTGTGATGATGTTAGAAGTAATTTTTGAAATTTGTCAAAAATTTACAAACATTAATTATATCTTAGATTCAACGTTACCTCAAGGATTGTGCATCCTTCAGGTTTTTGGCTTAGCCACTTTGCAGATTATATATAATGCTCACAATGTGTACGGAATAGAGAGGAAATCTAACCATTCTAAAAATATTTAGCAAATGCAATTGAATTGTTTTTTTAACATAATATTCACAGTAAATTTTCCAATCTTCATGGTATTTTATCTAATAGATATTATTTACCAAGCATTTGACACATGGAGTTTGTATATTAAATAACTTTAGTGAGTTGATCAAAGGGAACGCTTCACATAAAGTACTATAAGAAAAACATTACCACAACTTCAACACACAAGGAAACAATTGAAAATGATGTTATGTAAAATACTTCCCTTTTGAAGAAACGAGTCCACATGTTGATTTTCGTATAAAAATGCGTTTCTTATACACACAGATACACATATTTAGGTTTGTACATCGCTAACATTAACAGGAAGTTAAAAAACAATATATTCAAGGATTTCTGTTAAATGCTTTATTTCTGAACTCAGCATATATATTACCTACAAGAAGAAATCTATATCCATGTATATTCAAATAACTTTTATGATTTCTATAATACTTTGTATTTCCTAATCAGAATCACAGATGCTGGACACACTAATATGATATTTGTATACTATAATACTATTACATAGTATATACACATCATAGTATTGTGTCCAGCACAGTCGATCAGAATATGTTACCTCCAAGTAAGTATATTTCAGTCTGATTTTCTATTACCTGGTAATTGTTTTTTTCGGGTTTTGAAAAAGTTCGTATTTCGGTTATCAGAATATGTCAACTACTGAATTATACAGATGTCCAACACCCACTCGTCTGTTATATTCCCATTACTTCTTGAACGATTTCCGTTATACATTCTATTTCCTCTGGTGAAGCATCGTATTTCTCTATGGTGCCGTCTTCATGTATGATGACCCCTGGCATGTATCTGTTGAGGTTTTCTTTCACTATCTTAGCCGGATTGAGGTATTTATCCAGACATTTCATCACACAGGGAATCACTACCAATAGACAGGGACAACCAGTCCCAAAAGCGACGATACAGGCCTTGGGGTCTCGTAGGAAACAGAAGGTGATACCAGAAAACATCAGCACAGTCAGCAGTACGGAGCCCGTGAAGATCAGAATAGTCTTTGTCTGGGCGTCCCTAGCGTTATCACGGTCCGCCTCGGATATTACCTTGTGAAATAAATCGTAATAAGAGAATATTTATTGTGTCTTATTTATTCAGAAGGACTGTGTATTGTGAAATAAAACAATAGGATCGGAAACCGACGTTGAAACAACCGCACAACAACAATCTATATTTAACAATGGGAACCCTGTAACTACCTGGCAAAAACCCTGATATACTACCGTGATTCGTTTTCTCCAGATCATAAAGTAAAACGTAAACATTGAAAACAGTACATCGGTTTAAGTCTCTTCATGTGTTACAGATCATTGACAAAATATGACTTAATTCTTTAATTTATGAACGGAAAAGAAATAAGGCTTCAATACAAAATCCATGCTTGAGCATGAGAACGGTTTCGTGAATACGGGCCCAGATCTAGAGCAAGGCCTTGATAGGGGGACAAGGGGTACGATAAGCAGCGCTTTTGTTTTACTTTTCCGTTTGAAAATTTAGTGGATTCACCTGCGTACTAGAGTATATTAATGGTGTATGTTTACAACTTACAATACAAACCAATGACGTTACAATTAATACCTGCTCACAAGAGAAGATAACTCTGCAATACGCAAAGACGGAATAGGCAGCTACGTGCCTGACATTCATGGTGTATGTTTACAACTTACCATACAAGGCAAAGCCTTAAAAGAGCGTTGCTTTTGTTGATCTCTGATATTTACTGATTCGTTCAGAATGAGAACATGCTGATTTCAGAATGAGATAAGATAAGCTTTATTTGAAGTCGGCAAGTCGAGGAATGACAATAAAACACAATCTCTAATGAGAATTTAAGACCTACATAACAATTAGGGGAAATCGGGGCAAGTTCGTCCACTTTTTATTTAAGTCCGTTCTGGGAAATATGGCAGCACGTCCTTGATAACAGTGGACGATAACAGTGACAAATGGAGCTATATCTTGGGTCGGACAATTGCTACAAAATAAAGATCTTCCAGTATATATAAATCAAATGTTTGAATAAAAAAGTCTGATATTATTTAAGATGAACTAATTTAGCTTCCTGTGGCTGTCCGTTTAGTTTTTACCACGCACACATACATCATCATAGCTGTTTCTGTAAAAAGAACAGGCTTTCTTTTAGCTAATACAATCAATTTTCTGTAAATAATGTAAATTTCGCCTGAATCTCCAAAACAATGCAGAACATGTCACACCTTAAACCATTTGTACCAGACTACTTTTTCCACTAGTATTACTAATTTCATTAAATTCTTTAATTTAAAAAGACTGATTCATTTTAGTAATGCTAGTATAATATTGCAAGACATGTGATAACCCCCTCCTGCTAGGTTTGGGAAAAGAATAGGCCTGTTTTTCCTTTCATTGGATTCATAGGATTTAAAGCTATTTATGAGAAAGTATCTGTGATTATACCTGTTTCATGTGATAGTGTAATGTTTTATTGTTTATATGTACGCGACTCTAAATAAAGTTTCTTGTATCTTGTATCTTGCTGTATCCCACTAAATGTGATCGAAATAGACAACTAATGTGGGCCACAGCAGAATCGGGGGATTTCTTCTGCGTCTTCTGTTTAAGTGCCATTGAAAAAAAAAATCTGCTACCGCCATTGAAATACTTTGGATCTAACATTTTTTTTTATTATAACTTTGGCGATCTTTCTGTTTCCCTGCAGCGATACAAGTATTGGTGCATTCCTTGAAATCTGATTGAAGAATTTATTAGAATGTACGTCCCTTTTTAGTTTTTCTGGACTATTTATACAGGGAACATCCTGGAATTGAGAGCAGTTGGTCATGTTCAGCAAGTTTAATCAATATCAAAATGAAGACGGGCCATTCTATGTCAAATTAAAAGAAAATTGAAACATGGATGGGTCAATATCAGTTTTGAGGGGTCAATGGCCCCATGGCCCCCTCCAAGGTTATCCCTGTTTATAGCCCAGATCTAAAATTGTGTCTGAGTTTAGCTTGTAATCGCATTTGTAGTCTAACTATGTATTTGTGGTAGTATTTGTGGTGTCTGATTGAAGGTTTGATACAATTGTTGTTTAACATTCTCACAGAAGTTGCTTTGTTGTTAAATGGTACTCTGGTAAGATTACATTGTAAACATACAGAGAATACGTACCTGGAAGCTATCGTCTTCTGCACCAGTGGACGAGTTATCAGCAGGCGTGGTGTGCTGGTAGGCCCAGCCTTTATTGGCAATATCGTTCAAGTCCAGACCGACCTGTCTTTTATGTCGACGACGGCGTTTAGCTAGAATGGTTTTCACGGTATCCATCTTTGAGGTTGTTGTTGTTGTCGGGGCAACGGTAGGGGCAACGGTAGTAAGGTTCCCCCCGGCCAAGATGAAGAATAGCTTCGACTTCTTTTGATTGATCATGGAGTCACTTACTGGGTCTTTGGAAAGCTTGTCTAGTGTAGCTTCTTCTTTGACCACGCTAAATTGGTCATAATTCTGATGTGTGGGTTCTGAAACGTACATTACAAACGTACATTACAGCGACTTAAATATTGATTTTGATAGCTTGGTACAGTGCGAAAGAAATACAAGATTCAAATGTACAGTCGAACCTTTATTTGTGTGAACGTAATTATAAATGCAAAACACAGAGAATAACCAAGAGTACTTCGAACTCAAAATCGATAACATTTGGGCAAAATATGAACAAACAACAAAAATTCAAGGGTCCGTTTGAATTTGTTTATATTTCTGATAGGCTCTAATATAAGACAGAAACCAAAACGGCCAGTTTGTTCCCAAAAGGCATGGCCATAGCTTGCTAGAAAACCTTGTCATCGCATTCAGCAAAATGTAATGTCAGCCATGAACTCTATCATTCTCACGATTCCATCCTCAGTACAATTTCATTTTGACCTTCATGGTGTGTTTCCTCAAAATATGCTTTATAATACTATTATATCGCCGTTCGCCATTCCTGGAAAAGAAAGCTCCAACAATAAGACAACGAAACGTTCCTTCAATTTGGTATGACTTGCATGTATAGTACTAAAGCAAAATGTTTGAAATCCTACTTTTAAATTACTTTGCGGTAATATTAATACTTTTTGTTTATATGTGTGTAACTGTTGTGTGTTAATTACCGGAAGTTGTATTGTTGAGTGATGACGTCATGGATTGGTTGGTTAACATGTCGGGTGGTATTCCCACCTTGACAACGTGTAGCCCGTCTCCTCCGGGCTCATCAAATGTTGGTATGACCTCTTGCTCTTCAAACTCTGTTTAAAGTCACATGTTAAAAGTCCATAAGTTACAAGAATACTTAAGCGTAAACAACGAAGAACAAAGAACTCGATGTCGATTAATACGAAAAATTAATCGAAAATAACACTTCAGCAACCTCCCCCTCATCCCCCTCCTCGCACCTTCAGGGGGAAAGGGGAGAGGCAATCAAGCAAAAAAAGCAAAATAAATGAAAATCAAACAAACAAACAAAAGCAAAATAAATGAAAATCAAACAAACAATCAAAGTAATGATAAAAAAAACTCTCAAGCTGAAGGTATACTAAAATTAGTGATTGAAGGAGAAAAGGAGCAAACAATCGTGAGATATTTTCATAAAACATTATATGGCAATTTCCATATGAAATATTCAGCCTTCAGGTGTGTCACTTATTCTTATGAACTGTTATCATATATTTTAATGAAATTATAAACATTTGAAATCAACACGAGATATTTGCAGGGTTCATCAATAATGTAAAATATAAATCTTATGTAATTTTAACGCATGAATCATATGATCAGTTTGAACTTTTTCATCTACTGTCACTCTTTGAATCTTAATTTAATACTAATGCTTTTCGGTTTTATGTTTTGTTTTTGTTTTTGTTTTGGTTAGACAGTTGTGTCTCCAAAGGTGATGTGTTCAAAGGTGTGTGTGTGTGTGTGTGTGTGTGTGTGGGNGGAGGATGATATGAGAAGACAACTAGAAAAAGTGTTATTCACATATACTAAAAAAATTGGTGTCTCCAATAAACTCTATATTCGGTGTAAAAAAAAGTGGACATACCTTCTGCTGCAAATGTCTCATGGTGGGAGATTTCTATTGAGATCATTCTGCAATCTACAACTGTAATATAGACTAGATAATTATACGTAGTTTTAACAACAAAGTAGCATCGTCAAATACTAATCATGATTTATGATGTCGCATGATCCTTCCACCACCTATAATATAGCCTGTACGTCAAAACTACTGTTTCAACATTGATATTCTTTCCAAAAACAAACCAAAAAATTGTTAAAAACGTACGGTCATTATTTTCACAAAGTGTACACGAACGTGCCAATTAACTCGAATAATCGTTGTCTCTTCACTTTTTCTGATACAAAAAGCTTTGATGTTTTTTGGCGATTATCTACTCTCGCAAAATGTCTTGCCAGATACGTTACTAAACAAAACACCCATAATACAAGGATTTATTATCTATAACAACATGTTTGCAATGCAAAGTTCATTTTCCACTTTTACTGTATATGTATTGGCGCATGATAAGTGTGAATGAACGTAAACACGTTCCAAAAGGCTAAATATTGACAGATCTACAATAACTTTTGTTAGTCTAATCATAGCAAAAACAAATGTCATCTGACACATGATTTTGGTTTAAAATATATGTTTCAGGGCATGATATAATTTAAATGTTAATCTCGGCAAAACTTTAGCGCTGTACACTTGTACACGACATTTAATTTTGCGATATGGGCATTGCAAGTCTAGGTTAGTTGGCAGCACAGACTTCAGCAGACGACGTAAGTTTATATGCGTTACATCCCTTCGTAAGCTTTCGGTTGTAAACTTACCTGTGTGGAAAAATATAACCGAACAAATTATGTTCCTCAATTGAAACCAATAAAGATGCATGTCAAGTGTCACTAGGACAACAAACTTGCTACATTTTTTTCAGGAAAGAGAATATTCTGTCAATGTTGACAGGTGGCGCTGCATCCTTTCGGAACTCTCCACTTATTGACTTCCGAAGGGAAAATGGCAAGACACATGTTGAGAAAACTGTCTACCGGTATGTTCAAAGTGTGCATATTTACTGAATGTTATGATGTTTTAAGTTAAGAGGAAATTTTGCAAAGAATCCATTTTACTTTTTAGATATATGTATCATGTTTTATGATATAAAGAAACCCGTTAAGCTTGCATTCTTCTGTCGCACATAACTGGTTGCATAAGTTTTTGACCTGGCAGTTGCGACATGGTTTTTGTTTACAAATATTCATCACCAGATTGAATGCAAGTTTACCTCATACTCAGCCAGTTTGTGTATCTGGTGGTTTTGAAATTGGTCCGTTGTATATAATTTATGTCAGTTCGTGGTTTAATGGTAGCTATTTTTCTAGTTGTACACGTTTCGCCGCGTGTCATACTCCCGTAGGTCTTCGTGTGTTGACAGTACACCTGTAGCTGTTTACTCATGTGGAAAACATCTTATACGATGTTTTAGAGTAAACCGGATATAAAACGTCACCAGTTGTAGCTTAACAGATGTAACGCTAATATTTTAAAATCGACCCTAGTAGTTACGCTAGTGTTGTAGGTTACTCTGCAAGACCACTATTGAAGGTTAAACATTATATTATTTCAAATTTTTGGTTATTATGAATCATGTTTGTACTAAAACTATTAAAATGTTAAATTATTTATACACGTAAGAGATCATACATGTATAGAGATAATCACGCTGTCAAATACTGAAATCTCATTGTGAAACCTGCATACAGTGTATTTGCCAACTTACTCTCCCAATTTTGGAACCTAAGATTGAACATTTTCGACCAGTGAATTTGCTAAACAACTACTATTTTTCTAAGATCTGATCTGATCTAAATCTAAGATTTCATCAGAGAGAAGAGCTCAAAAGATGCCTTTTAAAGGTGTTATTTTAAGAGTGTACACACACACATTTAATTATTGCTTTTAATTCGGAGCATGCATTAACCCCGCACCTCCCTTTGAAAATTTCAAAATATAATCATAAGGAAAAGTTTGACTTAATTAGGACAGAAAAAATTTCTTTAAACTTGCACAGGTACTCTTGTACATATAATATATCAATACTTACATTGCAACAATCTAAAATTTGCACAGGTATTCTTGTACATACAGTGTATCAATATATACTTAAATACTTACAATGTAACAATATATTGATAAATGGACATATTGGCAATGCTTTATAAGGTTAATGCACTGTGCGTAGCAAGAAATCATTAGCCATGGGCCGCATCCATCATTTTTTTTGGTCCCCTGCAATGTATTTTGCTTCATGACATTAATATGATCACCATTTCTCTAAAAGTCATAGCGATGACTTTAAATAATACAGTTTTGTTCTCACAGATCTACTCTACACCCAGTGTAGTCGGCTGTCAGTATGCCAGGCATTACCAGGAATCACAACCAACAATACCTTATGTCGCCATTCCAGCTCAGCACAGTAAGTCAGACAGTTTACATTGTAACCATCCTCATAATGTTCATCTAAAAAATAAGCGCATGTCACTATTCCAGCTCAGCACAGTAAGTCAGACGGTTTACATGGTAACCATCTTCATAATGTTCATCTAAAAAATAAGCACATGTCACTATTCCAGCTCAGCATATTAAGTCTGCAAGGTTACATGGTAACCCTCCTCCTTTTTTCTTTTAAGCACATGCTGCCATTCCTACTCAGCACAGTAGTCAGACGGTTTACATTGCAACCATCCTGCTATGCTCATTTAAGCACCTCACACTTAGCAAAATATCTGAAAAATCCATGATTACTCATGTAGTAGACAACAGGGAAGGGAAGCTGCAATTTTGTCAAGTATTACACAAGTACTGGATGACAGAGAATACAAGCCAACATATTTGGGAGTTTGTAACTAGTGTTCCGGACATATACTGTTTCCCTCCGATCACCAGACACATCTCCGGGTAGAAAACCCAACATTCAAATAAAACTAAATAAGTAATGTATTGCATATAGTGAATAACAGCCGGCAGTGTACCTGGCCAGTTTCACAATGATTATCAATTCCGGTAAAAAAATGTTTAATTAACTCCACTACAAATTAGGTAGGAAAATTGTAAGTTCCTCAAAAATAATTTATTTTAAAAGACAACTCGTTTGAATTGTCAGACTGATATCACTGAATGACTTAACAGTCACACACAACTCAGCACTTGCAAAATCAACTTCAATACCACCTATCAGAAAACACGATGGCAAAGGTAAAATAATCCTGATCTAATTCTGTACTGTTAACTGATGACAATTATAAATATTTTGTTTCAAACATATACATGTATATGACTGTTTGTAGAAAGCCAAAGACAGGAATACTTATGCTAAATATGGGTGGACCAGAAAAGCTGGCTGATGTTGAGGGCTTCCTAACCAATCTCTTCCTTGACCGTGACCTGATGACACTACCAGCACAAAGGTAGGTCATCAATCTGATTTTGAAGGGAGGTAACTCTTACAACTCGAGCATCCCTTTTGATTTGCTTTAGCAACTTGCAACAAAAACAAGAAGAATTTCACAATGTATCTCTTTAACACTATTATTAATCGATCATCATTTAGTTCAGGATAATAACCAAAGATCTACACTACATATCATTTCAACAGTAAAGGATAATCAAAGATCAATCATAAAATTTCAATGGGTCCTGGGTTCGAAACCTTCGTGGGGCAGTCGCCGTGTACTGGCCGCAGGTCGATGGGTTTTTCCGGCAACTCCTGCTTTCCTCCACCACCAAAACCTGGCACGTCCTTAGATGACCATAGCTGTTAACAGGATGTAAAACACAAACAAACCAAACCAAAGATTCCAAACATTATTGCTAAATCATAAGTATATGTTGTAGTGCATTGGCCCCCCGCATCGCCAAACGACGAACACCGAAGATCCAGGAGCAATACAAAGAGATAGGAGGGGGTTCCCCTATCAAACGCTGGACAGAGGTTCAAGGCAAGGGTATGGTGGACATTTTGGACCGCATCTGTCCTGAATCTGGTAAGTAAGCTACATGATTCTTGGGAGAAAAAATATTATAATTATTAAAATGAAATATGGTACATCTGGGCCCATATTCATTAAACTGTTCTCATGTCCAAGCATGGACTTTGTGCTCAAGCCTTATAAGTTATTCTTATTCCGGTTTTTTTAGATTACTAGGTAAAACAAATTATTTTGTCAATCATTTCGAAAATATATGAAGAGACTTCCAATGTTTACAATAGACTTTTTGATAGTTTGACATGATTCAAGTGAGTAAAAAGATAGCTGGTTTGCGAATGGAATCTATGCTTGAGCATGAGAACGGTTTAATGAGTACGGACCCCGGTCACTGGTGAACATGTAAGATCAGCAAATTTAAAATCTGGATATTTGTCTAAAAGTAGAATCTTGTAATGTGGATGCTGGACTTACAAACATCTGACAACATCAGGATTGTTAAAAACTAGTAGAATTATGTAAATTTGGTGCCTGACTTCTAAACATTGTGGGTGTGGTAGTGTTGTTTCAATTCATCACTTTCTCTGTTTCCTCTGATACTGTTTTATTTATCATGATTTTCTATGATCAATCATCATGGTCCGACAACTAAGTAGAAACTTTTAAGAATAATTGAGATTTGGAGCAGACCTGAATACTAATTAAAGAAACAATTTTACTAATAATTTTTACCAGAATCTGTATAAAACAAAATGTATGCCTAGAGCAATAAGTATACATGTACTTTAAAACAATTTTCCCATTTTGGTGAAAGTTTAAAAAAAAAATATCATTTTATTTTATTAATGATCAATTGTAAATCATAAGTCATTCAAGAAAAAGAGATAAACGATCACAAATTTTGAAATGGTTCCTGTCACTAGGTTGTAGACAGTAGTATAATGTAGAATCTCGTGTCATAAACATCATGGTTGTTGTCAAAACAATATCTACATACATGTATGTATATCAAATATAAAATTATAAAATGAAAATTGCAAAAAGCAAAAAAGATAGTGGTAACTTGTAGCTTGTTGTTTTAAACGAATCGAGATAGAAATGAAGTGTGTTTGATACTTTTTGTGTAGTAATTTCACCAGTAAGGCTCCAGTGTGACCAGAGTTATATAGATCTATAGACTTAATACATTTAATTTTGAAAATCAGATTTTGGTAAATGGCTTCATTTCCCCATGGTGGCCAAGTGGTTAAGCATCTGACATTCTGTTACCACTAGCCCTCCACCACTGGGCTGCGCGTGCCAGACCTATGTAGAGCAGTCGTCGGGTACTGGCCATAGGTCTGGTTTTCCACCACCAAAACCTAGCCCGCCCTTAAATGACCATAGCTGTTAATAGGACGTACACATATAACACAAACAAACCAAACCAAACATTTCCCCAAATATCAAGTGATTTTTAAGTTCATGTACACATCTTATATATTAAGAAATCACCTCATGAGTAGAAAAAAATCTTTTTTTAGAGAAGGATTTTGTTAATCTTTTAAGTAGAACATTTGTGAAAGAATGACCAGATGTACATACAGAACGAAATAGCAAGCATATTAGCTATTTATAGAAATTTTCACATAATGTAGCTGGACTACAGATACTGTAAATGTTTCAACGCAATGAAAGAGAAATTTCCTAGCTGGAAAATCAGGATTTCTTATTATCTCCCTTTGCTACAATACATGAACCAGAAACAAGGACTATGACACCCATATGATATGTGAGATTTTAACCCTTTCACCACTGTAGACCATAATGGACTCATCCAGATCAATGCATGGTAGAGTCTACTAAAGTTACACAGGAGTGAAAGGGTTAAGCCTGTATAGGCAGATAAAGAATTCTCTCCAAGGGGATCATAAATTTGGCATAAGTAAGACCTGGGGATCTGTTGCATGTTTTTAACCCAATCAATTATCTACAAGGGAAGTAGTCAGTATCAACCTTTCATTTCATATCAAATCTGATACCTGTATGTAGGTAACTCTGATAATATTGTCATCATTTTTGATATATTAAAATGTAAAAAAGAAATAGTTTTAATTGAAATATTTTTAATTTCAGCTCCACACAAATTTTATGTTGGATTCCGTTATGTGAACCCTCTAACAGAGGACGCCATAGATCAGATGGAGAGGTAGTAATATTTTTTATTTGTTTTAACCCTTTCACCCCTATGTAACTTTATTAGACTCTACCATGCATTGATATGGATGAGTCCATTATGGTCTACAGTGGTAAAAGGGTTAAAAAAAATCTTTGTCGTCAAGAGGTTTTGGCGAAGTAGACTCTTGGATGAAATTGTGAAAAAATAATCGACATTAAATAATAATAAAAAATATTAAAAAATATGGACAATCAGTACAACTACTCTATTTAAACTTCTTACATAAACTAATCATCTGAAAAATTGTTGGAAATGTACTGATCTAATGTACACTTGTGTTAGTTTATTTCTTAAAAAGTTTATAAAACCCAGAGTAAGAAATGAAAACCGTTTATGATACAGCGATGGTATACAGCGAGGAATAGCTTTTACACAGTACCCACAATACAGCTGTTCTACAACAGGAAGTAGTATCAACGCTTTCTACCGACACTACGCCTCCAGAGGGGTTCCAAGTAACATCACCTGGAGTACCATAGACAGATGGCCAACACATCCAGGATTAGTACAGGTGAGTAACAACTGCCATGGAGTTCCAAGTAACATCACCTGGAGTATTATAGTCAGATGGCCAACACATCCAAGATTAGTACAGGTAAGTAACAACTGCCATGGAGTTCCAAGTAACATCACCTGGAGTATTATAGTCAGATGGCCAACACATCCAGGATAAGTGCAGGTAAGTAACAACTCCAAATTAAGGTGTTCCAAGAACTATCACCTGGAGTATTATAGTCAGATGGCCAACACATCCAGGATAAGTGCAGATAAGTATTTTAACTCCAGAGAGGTTCTGAATGGCATTACCATAGACTGAATACGGACATTGTCAGGATTGGCCATATACATGTAGTAAACTATTTTGTCCTATTTTAAGGAGTGTTCTGGTAACAAATTAAGCATGAATTCTGTATTTTAAGCAACTTTTTTTGTAACTCTCTGATGTCATAATTTATATATATAACATAGGTTTCAAAATGACAGGGTTACTTACTGTAATAAATGTAAAGATGTCCATTTCAATTGCCATCCTCCTGTTTTAAACAATACACAAAGCAGTTTTATTAATTTGGGGAGTTTTGTTCTGTTTCTGTTGCATTTACAGGAATGTTTACTGCAATCATAATTATTGGTAAGTGCCCAGACATCGATAGGAAAACCAATCAGGATTTCTCCTGAAATTTTCAGCAGGAGGGAAAATAAGGTTCGACTTTGAAAGAATGACATAAATCCTGAATATTTTGGGAAACATACACATGTCTTAGTAATGAAGTATTTGCTTGGATGCAATCATAAAAAAAAAAATAGAATGTCTATTTAGAATGTTTAGAATGATTTATTATTATTTGCAGACTTTTCACGCAGTGTAATTATAATGTCTTTAGAGGAGGCCCTGGCAGTAATATGTACAGTATGTGTTTGTTTCTCTTTTCTTTTTAAAGTAAAAAGTATTGAATTTGTGTATTTCCAGGCCTTTGCAGAGAATATACAAAAACAGTTGGACAGGTTTCCTAAGGAAGATAAAGACAAGGTTGTCATCCTCTTCTCTGCCCACTCTCTACCACTCATGGTAAGTCTTCGTCATCCTCTTCTCTGCCCACTCTCTACCACTCAAGGTAAGTCTTCTTCATCCTCCTCTCTGCCCACTCTCTACCACTCAAGGTAAGTCTTCATCATCCTTTTCTCTGCCCACTCTCTACCACTCAAGGTAAGTCTTTGTCATCCTCTTCTCCGCCCACTCTCTACCACGCAAGGTAAGTCTTCGTCATCCTCTTCTCTGCCCACTCTCTACCACTCAAGCTAAGTCTTTGTCATCCTCTTCTCTGCCCACCCTCTACCCCTCAAGGTAAGTCTTTGTCATCCTCTTCTCTGCCCACTCTCTACCACTCAAGGTAAGTCTTTGTCATCCTCTTCTTTGCCCACTCTCTACCACTCAAGGTAAGTCTTTGTCATCCTTTTCTCTGCCCACACTCTACCACTCATGGTAAGTCTTCGTCATCCTCTTCTCTGCCCACTCTCGACCACTCAAGGTAAGTCTTTGTCATCCTCTTCTCTGCCCACTCTCTACCACTCAAGGTAAGTCTTTGTCATCCTTTTCTCTGCCCACTCTCTACCACTCATGGTAAGTCTTCGTCATCCTCTTCTCTGCCCACTCTCTACCACTCTAGGTAAGTCTTCATCATCCTCTTCTCTGCCCACTCTCTACCACTCAAGGTAAGTCCTTGTCATCCTCTTCTCTGCCCACTCTCTACCACTCAAGGTAAGTCTTTCAAAGACAAGAAGTGTTCTTGTTCTCTTCCAACGCTTTACCACTGAATGTAAATCTTGGGGTGGTCGGGTGGCACAGTGGATAACACACTCGTCTTCCACCAAGGCAGGGGGGGTGTTCAATTCCCAGATTAGACCTGAAACGGTATGGGGTTACCTGCTCTATCATATGGGTTTTTCTCCAGGTACTTCAGTTTCTTCTCACATTAAGACTCCCCCACCACCACCACCCCCACCACCACCACCACCCCCCGCCCCGCTCGATGTGCCAACATCCAGGCCAACAAGAGTGATAAATGTAAGTTAAAATGACTTGTCTCATATTATAAATAAAGTTTAGAGATACATGTACTTGAATATATTTACAAAGACGAGGCAGTCATCATGTTGTCTGCCCATTCTTACTTCTGACTTTGAGTTTTACAGAGACAAGGTTTATATTCTAATCTGTTACATCTCAAGGTTACCCTTACACAGACTAATAGTCCAAAACTGTATAAATATAATGGCCATTGTCAATCTGTTATTTTACGAAATGGCTATTAGATTGAAGATTTATACGTCAAGTAATTAAAATGGGCATTATTAACAGTAGAAACAAAATTAAATGTGGATTATACAATTTCAGGGGTGAATGAGTTAAACTCCTTACTATCGTGTGTTTAGGTGGTAAACCGAGGAGATCCGTACCCAGCTGAGGTAGCAGCCACTGTGAATCGTGTGATGGAGGCCCTCGGATATTGTAATCCCTACAGACTTGTCTGGCAATCAAAGGTGGGTACAAATTACCTCCCCTGTTCCAGTTATCTCCCCTTTTCCAGTATATGGCCTCAGATCATGATTAATTCCATTTTATGTTACTACCAAAGAAAAGTAGTTCTATACAAATTGAACCTACAATGAGCTTGAAAATACCTCATGACCGGCATTTAAGAAAAATAATTTTATTTGAATGTCACTTACCTGCATGTATAGGAGAAAATACCAAAATCACAAAAAAATCAATGCACAACCCTCATCACTCAAATAAAAACTTGAAAACTCTGTATGGTACTGGACATTCAAATCAGCATCAGTGATTTTGTGAAGTGGTTTTTGGACCTTATTAAGGCCCCTTCCTGCCAGATAATTCCTGCTTTATTTTCCCAAAATCATACTCAAAAAGAGGTAGAAACTATGTACACCTTCATTAAAATCTCAACTCTTTTTTAATGATTCTGATGTTATATGTTAACCCTTTTACCCCAATGTTACTTTAGTTGACTCTACCATGCATTGATATGGAAAAGTACATTATGGTCTACAGGGGTGAAAGGGTTAAGGAATATACTGGGGACTAAAAGTATGAGGCCTTCAACACTGGGTTGAAATCGCAAAGTTCAAAATTCTGTCAAACTTCTTTGAAAATGAAGATGCATATGAGAAACCATACATAGTATGAACATCTCAAAATTTGCTCCTAAAGTGTACATTTTACATCAGATTTATTTTGGTTTCCTGCAGTCATCAGCTGATTTATGTCTTGTAAGAAAATCATCCCATTTATTATTGTTCAGCTGACCTGTGTATCATGCTTACCCTGTACTGATTTATATTTGATCTCTGGTTTCTGATCATCCCTGACCTGCTGTATCATACCTACCCTTTGTTGATTTACATTTGATCTCTGACTCTATATTAATCTTCAATTGATATCTGATGACAGGTTGGCCCATTGACTCTATATTAACCTACAATTGGTATCTGATGACAGGTGGGCCCATTGACTCTATATTAACCTTCAATTGATATCTGACGACAGGTGGGCCCATTGACTCTATATTAACCTTTAATTGATATCTGACGACAGGTGGGCCCATTGACTCTATATTAACCTTCAATTGATATCTGATGACAGGTGAGCCTGTTGATTCTATATTAACCTACAATTGGTATCTGATGACAGGTGGGCCTGTTGACTCTATATTAACCTACATTTTATATCTGATGACAGGTGAGCCTGTTGACTCTATATTAACCTACATTTTATATATGATGACAGGTGGGCCCGTTGCCATGGTTGAGCCCCCAGACAGATAAGGCGATAGAAGGCTTGGCCACTCGTGGTCAGAAAAACATACTGCTGGTCCCCATAGCATTCACTAGTGACCACATAGAGACACTGTACGAACTTGATCTGGAGTACGGCACAGAGCTCAGTGCTAAGGTATGTACCACATAGTTACAATTTATGAGCCATACCTGCTGAAAAAACGGGTGAAATATTGAGTCCTGATGTCAAGATCTGGAGTACGAGGTACATCTTATAGTGTGAAGGTTTGTACCACATAGTTACAATGTATGATCCAGGCCTACTGAAAAAGGGGTGAAATATTGAGTTGTGTCGTCTTGATCTGGAGGACATGACACATCTCAGTGCTTAGGTATGTACCATGTAGTTACAAAGTATGAACCAGACCTACTGAAAAAGTGGTGAAATATTGAGTTGTGTTGTCTTGATCTGGAGGACATGACACATCTCAGTGCTTAGGTATGTACCATGTAGTTACAATGTATGAACCAGACCTACTGAAAAAATCTAGATCTGGAGTATGGTACAGAGCTCAGTGCTAAGGTATGTATCACGTAGTTACAATGTATGTAGGCCTAGGCCTGGACCTTGAAAAAGGGACGGAATATTGAGTCATGTTGTCTGAACATCAAGTACTTATGAACCAAACTGTGTGACCCTACACAATGTAATCCATTAAATTAAATTATTTCTGTTAAGAATGCCGTTATGTCTGTCTGTCAATAATTTGTTGTTGTTATATATATTAGTTACAAATTTAAGCCTGTCATTTTTAGGCCATGGCTGTTTCACTTTTACATGCAGGTTCACAATCTTATAAGTTATAAAGTCTTTGAGCGAAGGATTGTTGCATACTAAAACTAGGTACATTAACATATTTCATCTGCTTGACTTTGAATCAAAGGGAATCTGTTCCTGCTCATGGTTTATTTTCCTCTCAGATTTATCTTTTTTATTGTCTCGGCGCAAAGAAGTAGCGGAAGTAGACTAAGGCGGCCACGGCTTCAACATTAAGTGTTTGCGTTTAAGTCAGTTCCACTGAAAGTATAAGTGCTACACCAACCCATCCTCGATATCCAGGGGTTATGCTCACTTTCACTCTCTACACCCCTTGAATATGTCATAACAAAATTGAAGGCACGAAGATAGCTGTTTGATTGGTGTCGGGTAAAAAAAATAAAAAAATCGCTAGACTGATACCTGTCCTTCGAAGATTACAAAGGAGAGACGCACAACTTCAAAGCCTGTCAATTTTTACCATTACCTGACCGCGAGATTCTTTTGATGTACATCAAAGGATCGAACTAGTATTCTTGTCTCATCAAGAAGGTGGCGCACACCGAGCCTTCAATTTTGCTATGACATATTCCAGGGGTGTAGAGAGCGAAAGTGAGCGTAGATGCATCTTAGGTAGTACATCTCAACTCATGCATCAAATGCTAGATGCCGCCTACTTTTCATGGTCCATTGACTTTGTCAGCATCTCCATCAACATTAAGTCTTTGCGTTCAAGTTTGTTTATCTGAAACTGTAAGTCCTACTCCAACCAAACTTGACATGTGCATTGATGGTCATAGCGGGGCACAGGTGTCAGAGACATATCAATCTGAATGGCTTGTTTACTCTTGCAACATGTAGTGGCTTGTCATGATCACATGCTATAACTGTAGGGCAAAATGACTTATTTCCACTCCATTGAACAATAAATAAGTAGTTCTGGACAATGATTTTGTTTGTATAAAATCCATTTAAAAATAGGTGGAAAAACTTTGAAAAACATTTTACAAATAAAAAAACACAAGATTCAAGATATTTGGCAAATAGCTACATGTAGCTGGCATGAAGTTTGCTTGAACAATTTGACAAAGAAATAAGCTTGACTTGCAGTAAACTCTACAGGGTTCAAACAAAGTCATTATACATGTGTTTGGTCAGCTCAGCAGCTTACTGGCACAGTACACATTAACAGTTGTGTGATACAGGCCATATGTGCCTCTTAGTAATGTTTTGTGGTACTGTAATATAATAAAATTATGCTTGTTTTCTGCTAACCTATTAACAGTTGTGTGATACAGGCCCTATGTGCCTCTTATTTATGTTTTAGGTAATAATATACAATACAATAATATACAACATTTGATATAGCGCCCTATCTAGCTAACATAAGCTACTCTATAGCGCTTTACAGTATATAGTTAGTTATACAATGAATACAATTACATGTAGCATATACATTAATCAGTACAGTTTTGAGGAATTGGCAGGAGCTGCCTAATTATCAGGTGCTAACTACTAGTCCTTTGCGACCTGGCTAATATCTCCCTATGTGTGTATGCCTGTGTGTGTGCTGGAGATGTTATGTTTAAAATTAAACTTTATTTATTTTACAACATTTATGAAACAAGTTATTTCAACTTGTATTAATCACTCTTGTTGGCCCGGATGTTAGTGTGGGGGGGTGGGGAGGGGGGGCTTTTTGTGGAAGGAAACAGGAAAAACCCACTTGGTTGGGCAGATGACCCTGAAACTTTTAATGTACGATCGGGCAATCAAACCCCGACCACCTTGGTGAAAGGCAAGTGCGCTATCCACTGCACCTCTCGACCTCCCAATGTGCTCTGTATTATCATAGAATTATTGCTTGTTTTGCTGCTTACCTATTAACTGTTGTGTGATGCAGGCCCTACATGCCTTTTGTTTCAGGTTTGAGGTACTCTCTTATAATATAAGTATGCTTGTTTTCACAGCATGGTATCACCATCAAGAGAGCCGACGCCATGAATGACAGCCCTACCTTTATTCAGGTAAGGTTTGACAATCAGGGATATGAGCCTTCCACTTTTCAGAATATTTCCTATTTTTTCCTACTTTTTATGTTTCAGGTTTTCTTGATTATTTCTGAAACATTAAAAAAATCAAAGTTTCTAAGGAAGTGAGGTGTCTTTCTCTCTTTTTACTTTAATTTCCTTATTTTACCCCAATCCCAAGACATGTCTTATTGGATCTGGTTGGAAAACAAATCGTATTTTTGTTAAACATTTGGTATTTCTTGTTTTCAGATGACGTTTAGGATTTAAGTTGCAGAATTTTTAATATACTGGTATACACTATAGGAAAGTTTTGTGCACTGTTTTTGGGAAAAAAACTAAATTAGCCTATAAAAGTAGTATAAGAAATAAGTTAAGTCAAAAACAGGTTAATTGTTTTATTATGGGTTTTATAGAAAATTGAATGAATACAAATTGTTTTGACACCATCAATGTTAGAATCCTAGAAATGTCCATGCCAAATATGCTGATCCTAAAACAGACACCGAAGATTATGTTAATAAATGTCAACATAATATTTTATCCTTATAATGACAAATGACTACACTTCAGCTCCACTGTTCTCAAAATTCTGAATCTGAAATTAATGAGGCCCAACTGCACATGTAAATCTGTTGTTTCAGGCAGCTCCCCTCTTCTTCAAATTTCTATTCTGAAATTAACGAAGTCCAACTGCCCGTTTAAATAAGTTAATAAACGAGGGCCAACTACACTTGTAAATCTGCTGTTGTTTCAGGCCAGCTACCCTATTCTTTAAATTCTGAATCTGAAATTTACAATGCCCTACTTTACATGTAAATCTGTTGTTTTAGGCAGCTCCCTTATTCCTCGAAATTCTGAATCTTAATTAATGAGGTCCAACTGCACATGTAAATCTGCTTTTGTTTCAGGCACTCGCGGACGTGGTGAAGGGTCACCTTGCCTCTAACCAGGCGTGTAGTAGACAGCTGCCGCTGCGCTGTCCAATGTGCACCAACGCTACCTGTGGGAAAGCTAAGGAATACTTTCTCAAGCAGCAGGAACTCCTCGACATGGGTTCCAGTAAAACAGGACCTGAACATGTGACTGCCTAACTCCTTTGATAAAGCTCTGTGATGATGATGGCATGTTGGAAGCTCTGCAGTTTTTTAAATAGTTCCTTTCTGTATTAAACCATCATGGTGAAAATTGTGTCAGATTTTGAGGATGTTTAGTTTTATGTTCAAAATTGAAATACTATTTTTGCTTTCTTTAGCACAAAGGGCATACACCTATTAAAGCACTGCGTCTATTGTCATTCATCATCAATTTGTTTTTAGAAGAAAAAAAGAAAATAAATCCTTCTCCAAATTTGTCTGCAATATCTTTTGGAAGGGTGAGGGTTCTTAATTGTTAACCAGATTACTAACAGCATTCACTCTATGCTAATTTTTTTCTATTTTGTTATATAATTATGTTCCCTGTAGATACCTTTTGATGAGTTAATTGTTCAAGAGAAGTATCGGTCTTCCCAATAGGGTGAGGAGCAGGGATAAAAGGTGTCATTTGGGCTATTGTTTAAAGGACTCCTCCTCTGTGATGGATATCAACCACATTTAGATGCAGGCATCAACAGGTTGTAGGAATTTCAAATTGTACAAATGTTGGGGCTGACCGACTGAGGAGTGGGCTATAAAAGTAAAATTTGGCCATACGTCTCTGAAACTATGGGATGGATATCAACTGTATTTATTTGGAACTTAGTCCATTGGTTACCGTATGGAAACACTTAAGATCCTCCTTCCCTATAACCATACATAAAAGAGCTAGGTATATGTAGAGACTAATGCTACAAGGATTGGCCTGTGGATCAAGCCCTGTCCCTGGGGACTTAGTCCTCGGTTCATCACATGGAAACAGTTAAGATCCTTATCCCATAATCAGACTTAACACAATCATACTATCAGTATTGTTGGCAGGGTCTTTCCCTGCCCCTTGGGGCTTATTACTTGCAATATGACGTTATTGTCATGATTGCTTCAAAAACAAGGTGAGCTATACAGACCCTCATGGCCAATAGTTTTACTCAATATTATTTATTTACCTTTTGTTGTCAGAGGTAGGACTATGATCTCTTTTTAATTACTGGTAACATCATTTATATTTAAATATTCATATTTACATTTAGTTTGCAAAGTTTATCGTTGTAAGAATAAACGATAAAAACTCGGTACGATGTTCCCCATTTTCTTCCTTAACATTAAAATAAATATGATGTCCCTTATTTATACCACTATACAGACACCTCATAACTTGCCCCTTGTTTCATGGTTATGGCCATCATATTTCCTTTTTGCATATTTAAAAATTCCTCTATATGTCTCTCTTTATACTATTTATTCACATTTTTTTTGCCTCGGTTAAACGAGTTTAACTGTTCATAATTTCACCCTGGTAATGTACATGTATATTATTAGTTATACAGGTCTTTGGCAGGGTACATGGTCTCATGTTCCCTGTCAGGACCTTATGTACCCTGAGCCGAAGGCTGTAAAGACTCCCATCCTGTTTCCTTGCATCGAGATAAAAATGGCCCAATGCCTCGTCTAATCTTGGCTTCGAGAAGTCCTCAAAATCTGTGTCTTGCTCCTTTTCGCTTAAGTATGCTCTGAAGGTTTTGCTTGCTGAATTGTTACTTTTCTTTGTGTTTGTAGGTTTAAATGACGCCCGTTTTGTCTCAATTTCACTCTCCGTGTGGCTTGCAAACCGTTTCTCCATTGTGTTCATTGTTGACATTAGCAGACGAACGTTCTCCGGTGTGTTTGATTCGAATCTGCGAGTTATCTCCCTTACAACAGGCGCGCGTGCTCTTATGTACCCCGGCAAGGATACTAACATAGCTTCAGGTACCTTGGCAATTCGACCAATCACCGTGCGACATTTTTCTTTGCAGTATGACAAAACTAGATGATTCCTGCTTACTCGGCTAAGGAGAATTTCTCTTCAGCTCATTTGGTAGAGTGTAAGACTATTTATTAAACCAGAGTTCTCTATGGAAAGCATTGAAAAAAATAATGACCTCGGTTGCAATAATAATGCAAATTTATCATAACACCATATAATAATTAAATTTGAAGGCATTTACAGATGAAGGGCAAAAGTCTGTTGGACAAAACGTTCCTGGAATAATTACATAGCCAAACCCCTTTATTAAGCATTTTACAATAGGTGGATTAGAACTAGTTTTAACTGCATTGGATCAGTTAAATTTGTAATATATAGTTGTTATGTGGTGTGTAAATTGACCTGTGCTATGTTCACCTGAATGGTGTGATGTGAAGGCATAATTAACACTGGGTCAATATGGATCTATTGAGGGCAAAAGTTTGATGGACAAAAATTCGTCTAAAGTATAATGCCTTACCGGTTAACCCTTTCACCACTGTAGACCATAATGGACTCATCCAGATCAATGCATGGTTGAGTCTATTAAAGTTACATAGGTGTGAGAGGGTAAAATGAGCCAACGAGGATGCACGAAAGCAACCTGAAATCATTATTCAGATTTTCAGTTTGGGAAGTGATGCAGTGTAAGACTTTCCGGCGATAGTTTCACATTTTATGTATGTACATGTTTGATTAGTTTGTGATTGTGTTAGATTTACAAAGTGGTGCTTGAGTAGAAAGGAAATCATCCAAAGCTATTAAACAGATTATATAAGTGCTATGGTGTACCACTTTCAGGTGAGATTGAATAAATAATATATACTTAAAATGTATTTAATTATTTATGTGTTCGAGAACACGATGCTGACTTATGATGTTTTTGAGTTGAAGTTAAAACTGTCTGTAAAATCCAATTGCTCTGGGGTCCGTTCCCATCCCTTCCGGATCCACTGGAAACTGAGGACACAATGTGGAAACTGTTCAGATCCATTCCTTAGTGCCAAATATACAATTGCTAGACACAAAGAGACAAGACACTCGTAATACAAGGATTGGCTATGCGGTCCAGCCCGACCCCAGGGGACATAGTCTCAAGGTCTCAACTTGGAAACAGTTGTGATCCCCAACTAAAAACCACATATGCATATACAATTGCTAGGGAAGAAGAAACAAGACACTGATTCTTCGAGGATTGGACCAGGGCTCGGCCCTATTGGGGCTTGCTGCCCGCATCATGGCATAAAAAGTTAAGGGGCCCGGCTCCCTCCCTAATTACTAACTTCCCACGATGAGGTACTTTCCCTATCACCATACATGCATATTACAATTGCAGGCATGAATACCTATACAAACTTGTGCTATAGTGATTGGCTCTGGGGTATTGCCTCTCCCCCTGTTACTTAATGTACTTCAAGGGCCATAACAAAGTAACAGTTGCGATTTCTACCATATATACATGTATACAATTGCTAGGCGTGAAAAAGTGCAAACACCCATGATACCATGGATTGCCTGGTGGTCCGGCCATCTCTGGGTAATTAATCATAATATGGAAAAAGTTAAAATCCTCATCCCATAAGTTATAGCAATATATACATTTGCTTAGTTTAAAGAGAAAAATACTCTCATGCTACCAAGATTGTTCGAGGGTTCGAGCCCCAACCCAGAGTACTTGTTCCATGGATCATGACAACTTATGAAGCCAACAACATTTCAATAACACCTGACTACATAGACAGACAATTATAAATAATACAAGTAATGATAGGAAGTCAAAAACTATACATGTACATACATTTTATATTCTAAATCTTGGAAGCTGGACCTAATAAGAGTTTGCACATGTCTAAATCAATTACGATTTTCATCCAAAGCTAGATAATTGTCACCAAATACTAGTAACCTTAAACTTTTTTGCACATTTCTATCGTTATTGTATTGGGACAGTACTGTACGAGCATTACTCTAAAATTGACACTTCATTTCCATATATCGGATATAAAAGGAATCCTTTTTCTTACACCAGTTTTCATAAAAAAGTAAAATTTATTGTCTCTTTTAATAAATTATTATACCAAATTGGTCGTTGGGTTGTTGGGTGTGGGTTCATTTTCTTGCATAGAAAGCCCACACTATTAATACTTCCTTCCAAAATAATTATAATATATATATTTGAGCGCTCGTATATGTACATGTATCATCATTGGGATGGCAGTTTTACCGAACGTTAATATTAACCCCTAGACCGTGTAAGGCCTGCTCTGGTCACCTAGTGTAACAAATACACAGGTCCCTTTGATCACATAGACTACACGCTGTCATATGACCATAGCTGTTGCGATGACGCTAAATCCAAAACAAATCTACAAACAGGTGTATTTATAGCCATAAGGAAGTTCCGTTATTCTGTTGACGTTTAATGGTCGAGAGGACATTCGTATCAACAAGTTCTTGTATTGCTTTGTTCAGGTAAGTGTGCCAGGTGATATATTCATATATTAAAAGGACTCGTCCTTCATGCATTGTAATTAAAATTAACTTTATATATCGATAAACGTTACAAATCGCCACTTCTGTAGTTTCAACCTTTCGCTAGAATGTATTTTACTTCAACATTTTTTAGAAAGATCAATTTTGACCACGGAATTAGATTATCTAAGTCCGTGATTTTGACTAATCAATCACACTGGATCATTAAGCTGGCGAATTTCTATTCAAGGGACTATATGATGTATATGCATATTGGATATGATCATTACATAAATCCTGATATTAGCAACAGCAAAATAGATATATATACAAATTAGTGTATTGACATTTGGCGGCCATGTTTGTCTGACGTAATTGCCAAAAAATAGGTGTATGCAGTCGGGAACCATCGGCACTTCTCGTAACAAAGTATTTTCTCGTTTATTGTAGCCCCCTGCATGGGTTGATGGGGTTATAACTACATTACGTATATTTACTCACTTTTGGGACGGCACAAAGCTTCATTGATAAGTTTTATGACATGCAAATATTCATGTTTCCAAACTCTAGAATGGTATTTTAACCGAACAAACCAAAACATATATCGTCGATACCAAGGCATTTCACCTGTGTTTATTTTAGTATAGAACATTTTAGAAGAAGATGAAGAGAAGTACATTTTTCAGTCATTATACTTTATTTGGTAACTGTATTAATTTTCTTATATCTATTGTTTATTTAAAATATGTATTTCATATAACTCTTCATGTTTGGAGGAATAAAGCTATGAATGAATGAATGAAAGTATAATAAACAATGTAATATGGCAAAGCCTGTGTGTATACAAATTCTGTCTTCAGCCAAAATCAACAATATTTTGATCGAACTGTTTATTCGATGGTCATTATTCACATTGTTCCTATACTTGATTAGCAAACATGTCTACTCCATCCTTTTTATATTACTTAACGAATATGAGCATATACCTCCCCTATAACATATAAACATAATTCTGTCTATAAGAATCAATTGATGCAGATTACAAGAAAACATTCACACTATTCCTTTCACTTCTATACATATTTAATTATGTTTTGCTATATTTACCTTGCATATTCGATTTTACAAGAAGCAGGTAATATATAAGTGACCACACGACCTCTCTCCTCAATTCTAATAACTTAAGTATCATCTCTGGAACTTAAGAAGCAATACATTACTTATATGTTCCCTCAATTAACCCTTCTATTCATGTTGCTCTAATTGTTCCCATGTTGTACGGGTGGCGCAGTGGGTAGCGCACGTTCCTTTTACCAAGGCGGTCGGGGTTCGATTCTCCGATCGGACGTGAAAAGGTATGGGGTCACCTGCCAGACTACTTCGAATTTTCCGGCTAATCTGGTTTCCTCCCGCATAAAAACCCCCTGCGCGCTAACATCCGGGCCAACACGAGTGAATGATATAAGCTGTAATAACTTGTTTCATAATTGTTGTAAAATGAATAAAGTTTATGTTATATAGTTCTCTTACATTTGAGTACACCCGACGCAAATATTTTATCAGTCGATTGATACGAATTCAGAAGGTGCATCAACTATTATATCATCTTGTGTTTACAGGTGATTGACCAACGTTTCAGGGTACAAAGTCCAACGAAATGGCTGCCCGGGACGTTGTCGAAGACATAAGGAACAAACTCAAGTGTGGCATTTGTTTAGCTGTTCTACGTGATGCTAGGGTCCTTACTTGTGGACACACGTTCTGTTTCTCGTGTATCGAGCAAGACTACAGTGCATCACATCTTACTATGGGAAAATGTCCTGTGTGCAGGCAGTCATATTTTGTGCCACAAAGAAATGTAAGAAATTTACCAAAGAATTTTACTGTCAACGATGTACTCGAAACATTGCAACCTGCAGGTACAGGTCGTCTTTGTGCAATGTGCCAGAATGGAGATGGTGCATACATATGTCTGAAATGCAAACTGTACATGTGCAGATACTGTTCAAGGAGAACCACTAACAATTGTAGCCATCAACTGCTACCGTTTGAGGATTTGAATTCCAAACCATTTCTTCGAGAAATCATACAACGTAGCAAATCCAAACAAACATGTCCGTCACACTCTGATGAAGATGCGAGTTATTTTTGTCAAACGTGTAAGCGCGTGCTGTGTGACGTATGTAGACTACGGGATCATCTTCACCACAACACGCAAGAACTCCAGGAAGCTGTCAGAAACCTTCGAGCGAAAGATATCCCTAGTTTGTTGGAAAAAAAGAAACTTAAATTTGACCAAACAAAGAATTCATTAACGTTGCAAGCGTCCAGTTACGCGTCGCCTCCCGTGGAACTTCAAGAGAAAATACTCCGATATGAGTCATACCGAGCGGAATGTTCTGATCTCCACGAGGACATGTGTCATTTATTTCAGTTTGGTAGTGACAAAACAATCCTAGAACTATTTCACGACCGAGAGAAGAGTATCAACGAAATACTTAGCATTCCAACACATTCATATTTCAAAAGAGTTTTCGAAAAATTTAAACACATAGTACGGACTTTTTGGGGGATAGTGACATCGTTTGTTCCTCCCTCCATAATTCATTTTTTTTCTGCGTAGGGATTTGAAGATATTTATCAGCACTGTTACAGCAAGAAATATCAAAATGTTTGTTGAACGTCCCTGTTCGTTGTTTCGTTCTTTATTTTAACGTCCCCTTATTCAGGTGTGGTAAAATAGAATAAAAAGATGTTTAACGAACCGATTTTCTTTTTCGATTTCGCGTAGAAGCATTATGTTCGCGATTAAAACCATCATCGCAATTTATAGCAACTTCATATATCCTTACTGTAGCTCATATTGTGCTATGAACACTAGAAATGAAATATGCGAAATGGATACATTTTTTGCAAATCTGCGAAAATTTGGAACCACGAATAATATTTTTTGCTCATAATATATGTGATTTGCTTTTTGTATTCATACAGTACATGACTTTTTGGGGAATTGGTTGTCATAGCAGCAACCAGGGTGAAATGAAGACAGGAGACCCCACCGAAAAGGAATACCTAGGGGGGGAAAGGAAACTCATTCCTAACTTTAGACTTGGATTTATATTTAATTGATGTGTTTACTTTCTGCTTGCTGTTAGGAGCCTCTATGAAGGGACAGACTGTATATCTCAGCATAGCCGACAGTGCTGATGAATAGATGACTGTTAGAAGTTATGCCCCTATTTGCTGAAAACGGAGGGTTGAAAGACTTGATATATATATGAAACCTTCCTTTGCTTTAATTGTCAATCATCAGATACGCATTTCAGCTGTGAAAATCATACATTTATGCTTCTTTTATAATGTAGCAGTAGAGCTTATCAGATGGATTGATTTTATTTTATCTTATTTTCAACTATTTCTTAAAGCCAGGAAGAATATATGTTGATCTGTATCCTTTACATGTATTTTATACATCGTTATGAGGTGTGAAAAAGTCAATGTCAAATAAAATGATATTGACCAATTTGATATATAGATTTTATTAACCGTTATATACGTATTGATATTTGATATAACTTTACTGTATCATAAAATTAATCTTAATGCTTTCATATAGTTCTTGTAATATTATGCAATTGTTCTGTCGAAGAAATTATTATCCCGAGGGCTACGCGGTTCTTGACCTCTCTTTGGATGCATACCACTTAGGAAAGATCATGAACGAAGTTAGATAATTTTAGCTGGGAGAGTCATTTTGTGGATTTCAAGGACTTTGGAGGAAATTGAATCAAATATTATTTGTTTGACTAATTTTTAATATCATTTTTGTCATTATTTTTTCTATTAAATATATTTGAGGAGATATATTAACTTTTGTGATTGTTTTTTTATTGTGACATAATGCAACCCTGCCACGAGGGCAGTATATTTACTGTATACCGGGAAGTGTTCGCCCAGTCAAGTTTTCGCCCTCCCATGTTCATTCAATTACTATGTATATTATGTTGTTTACAAATGTTAACTGAAACAAAAAAATGCCCTCATTACGAAGGGCGAAAAAGTCGAAAATTAAAGTGCAGCGAAAACTTCCCGACATACAGTATATTAAGCGATATATACACCTGTATACAATGATTTGAGAGTAGCATGTATTCTGATGTCGTTATACTAGGATAAGGTTAAGGTTTAACAAGCCTCGTAAAACGTTAGTATAGACACCAAAATGTTTAAAACCCTGATAAATCATATTTACAGACCCCAAACATTGAAATGCAAATTATATCTTGATTTTCAGTTACTTAAATGGTACATAGCGTCATTCACTGAATCTGTATTAAGGCATCAGGGCTGATGTATCAAAGACAAACAGCTCACCGCCATTATAACATGTTAGTCTCTGAATTCCAATGTTGGTTGGTTGGTTGACGGGTTTATCGCCTACATGACTCCTTTTGGGGCCTTTAAATAGTACTCATCGGGGGGGGNGATGTGTCACCTTCACTATATTATGGTGTAGTTATTGTGACGCTACGTCTCTTGTAAATCGTTTTGTACCCTTTCAATAGGTTAACATTTCGTTAATTTGACGATATAAAAATAAGGTGCCACATCCAGTGTATTACAATGCTGTTATATTGGGACTGCGTTTGTGCAATAACAAGAGGATTCTCCTGTGATCATTTTATTGCGCCATACCTCCGGAGAGGGTAAAAAAACTGAAAAATACAATTACTAAACTGACTTTACAATAATGACCTAATGACATATATATAGCCTTTACAAATAATCAAAGATACAAATGATCTTATAAATGTAAACATTATACAATTAATGGGTGCAACACTTACTCCGTGGCGACCGAAAGACTACAGAAGCGTTGGTTAAAACACGACGCACAACCTTCGTTTAATTAAGGAATGCATCTTGTTAACATGTATGATTGAATGCATGACTGTTCGGGCTAATATTGTTCATGAAGCGCGATAAGGTATTTTCAAGAATGTTTGAACCAAAAATATGTTGCGTTACAACATCTGCCAATAAACCTTATTTTTGCATCTTTCCTCTTGAGATTCGTAAACTCTGACTGCCTATTCCGTCTTTTCGTATTGCAGAGTTATCTTCTCTTTTAAGCATGTACTGATTGTTACGTCATTTGTTTGTGAGAGTAACGTCATCAATTTTTGAGAAAAAGACGTAATTTTCTCACAAAAATCAATGACGTAACAATCAATACCTGCTCACAAGAGAAGGTAACTCTGCAATATGCAAAGACGGAATTAATTAACAGAAACAAAATCAGATATGGTACCCGAAAACTTCTATGTTTACTCTGCAGTACAGTGAGAATGTAACCGATGGCAGCCATTGTTTGGTCCTTCGCATCTTGGAAACATTCAACATATGAGGGCTCCAAAATGTCTACTTATACATCGACGGAACGTGACAAACGTTTTATTCTTTCTATTATCATTAAAAGTATCTGGTCTGTAACGTAAACAATGGCGGATTCGTTCTGGAACATAAGGCCACGTCATTACCGAAGCACGACCAAAATAAATGAGAAAAACTATACGAAGTTCTACTTGGATTGACTAATTAAAAATTAAATCCTTACCAAAAGTAAAGCGATGGTGTTGATCACTATGTGTATTTATGAATTACTCATACAGGTATATCGGTGTATCAGCCACGGCTACTGTAGCCTCGCAGCAACCCACGCGGACTGTTTTTTTGTTCGTCCAGCATTTAAACATTGTTTTCGGATGTAAACATAAGAATTTACCTTCATTTTGACGGCGTATACGGTAGTATGAACGCAGTTGGCAGCGATCACATTCATTATGAAGCGCTTCAATTTAAGTCAACGTGGCACACGTCAAATGGAAACCATTCGGGAATTTCCGTCGTAAGTTGATCTTGAGATCTCGCCATGATTGGTTCTGATTTCTCTAACAGTGTGGCAGAAAGTCCAACTTTTCCTTATTGAAAGAATCCAACGTGTTCTCCCTGTTTTTGGTTTATAACAACTGGTTTGGTCGGCTGGTTTATCTTAATGAGTGTAAAATAGAAATTTCAATATGAGAGTTAGACACTGTAATATTGCACTGCGTCAATAAGTGAAGATCCAACTACATTAGATTATGATGTCGGTATGGTGGCACCTCGTTAATACGCGCTGTGATACATACTATGCTTTGATGTCTGTTAAAAACCATCAACGTGTTACAGCAGGTAGTATTTCCTTAACCAAGACACCATTTATTCAACAAACCTCCTCGCTAAACAGAAAGTAAACCTTAACCATTTTTGTTCCTTTACAATAGAGGCGCCAATCCTGTAGATTTGACAGGTTTATAATGCCCTTAATAATGTAATTATGCTTCATAAGATACTGGACCTGATAGATATTTCTTAAACACTCGGGAAAATATTGATAAATAGCTGTATATGTCAATGAAAAATGACAGTTGGATTCAAAATTTTGTCCATTATGACACTACAACACATATTAAATATGTCCGTGTATCTCGTACTCGTGCTGTTTAAAAATAAAAAGAAGAATAAACAAAAAAGTAAAACACAATGTCTCCAAAATGTTTATTTTTATCTTCTGCAATGTAATAAAGCAAACCCAAAGTAATAAATACTGTTTTGTTAATCTATATAATTAATACAATATCGATAATTAAACATCGGAAAAACTGCAATTCATGATCATTATATTGCTTATATTGTAATCTAAGTTTGCCTAAACCTCCAATGCTAGACTTTTTTCATGTTATATCGTATAACCTAAAAATCATCAGTATTTGTAATTTAAACTTCTGAGTGGTTGAAGTTGCTTGCAGATAAAATTACTGCACAATGTTGTGCTTTGTGCAAAGGTATTTTGTTTTTGTCAGAATTGTATATTTATTCATTGACTATGAATCAAAAATATTGTCTGTCTTTTAAAATTAAATTATAATCGATAACCATGTACAGAAAATAATTGTGTGCAGTCAGCACTTTGCATAAATCTTATACCGTATAACCCCAAAATAATTCTTGTTAAACCTTAAATTAACATACGAACAAATGCATACAGACATATTAAAATATGTTTGCATAGATATAATCGGGACTTTCTTTTGTACTACCTATTAGTAGAGCGTGCATAAAGTGTACCCTTTCAGTAGGTGTTTTAGAAATCTTGGTTAAACTCTGTGTTAAGCTCCGTTCTGGATGCACCCTGAGGCGCAACACACAACATTGTCTCTGCGGTTTATATTTGACAATTATGGACTTTTATTGAGATGTATATGTGGGTATATGGACCTGATCAAGTTATATAGATCAAGACGCAGTCGCGGAGGAAAGTACTGTATTTAGCAAAGAGCAGTGTGACGTTACAATCGAAATGACGTCATAAAGTAAATATTGATTTGTTGTTTTCAAAAATAGTATCATCGAGCAAATATCACAAATCTGCCGTCAAAGCAGGAGCAGGGCATGTACATGTTTCTAGTCATTTAAAAATGAGCTACAGAACGTCCAAGTATCTTTCTTTTTGTTTAAACAGCTAATATTTGCAAATACTTGCTGAACCAAATACCACCAGTTAAGTTAAAGCATCATACATGGTATATCTGTGTGTGCTCAAAATAGAATAATGAATGTAGTTATACATGTGTGAAACGTTTGATTTAACTATGAACATTTTCTGGAATGGTATAGAAAATTAGTATTCAAACTTATGTATGAAAATCATTGATCAACTACTTCCACTGGCAGTATTTGATTGGATAATTGTGACACAGATGATTCAATTAGTCTAAGGTGTCAATCCTAGGCAGAAAGTATAGATATAATCTCAGAAATTGAAGATGATAGCTCGTTTGTCGAGATGCAATAGTGGAAATCCTAAAACCCATTAAAAAACAGATCGACGATGATACCTCAAAGCTGACGCATGGTGTGTTCTTCCCTAAAGAAATATCCGGTCTAAGGGATTATCTGCTGATGAAGTATCATGACCATAAACAACCACAGAGGGACGACGTAACTGCCACCTCTCACTCCCGTAGACCTGTCACAAACAGTCGTCAGTGGAAGTGGAACCTATAAGGTGTATTCAGTGGTAGACATTTAAATAGTTTAACCAACCAACCAACCAACCAACCGTCAAAGCAGATCAGTTGGCCGACAGCAATGCAAGATACATACAGAACGAAAGCAGAAGAGCACAAGGTGATACCTAGCGGTAACCAAGCTGCAAAAATATTGGTCATTAAAGTTCCGTTGCCTCTTTCCCGTACACAACTCTACATAGGAGAGTATTGAAATCAATACAGTCTTAGAATGGATTTGTGACAAATGTGTCGAAAATTTCTCCAGGAATTATGACTTTCATGTTTCCTCGGATAAGTATATCGAAAATCTTCCAAAGGGGATGAAATTTGCCCCCTTAAATATATGCGGTCTATCAAATAAACTTGACCAAATCAAGATACTTTAAAAAAAAAGAACATTTGATGTATTGGCATTAACTGAAAGTAAACTTGATAGTTCTACGGATCCACCGGATATTTCCATACATGGATACTCGGCTTACCGTAGAGATCGAAATAAACACGGCGGCGGAGTTATTGTTTATGTAAAGGACTCAATGACCGTTGTGGATGAGAGCTCGTCTATCGTGGACGGAATGGAGGTTTTGGTTTTAAAAATAAATCAAACGAACTCGTCAAGTATACGATGTGTTTCAGTATACAGGCCTCCCAGTGAAAAAGTTGACTGGCTCCCTCAATTTGACCAGATTATAGAAAATGTTTCAGCACCTGACCAACCATTAATTGTCAGGGGTGATTTTG